GTAGATTGCCTGTAGAGCAGGGTTCTTCAATTCCGGTCCTGGAGGGCCGAAACACTTCTTTTTTATTTCTACATGGTAGTTATTTGCACTCCCCTGGTGTCCAAGGTCTGAATTAGCCCCTGATTAGAAGGAGAGGATGAAAAACAGGAGTTTCGGCCCTCCAGGACCGGAATTGAAGAACCCTGCTGTAGAGCATCTACAGATGGACTATCCAATTAAATCGATCAATCAATCAAATGTATTTATAAAGCCCTTTTTACATCAGCAGATGTCACAAAGTGCTATACAGAAACCCAGCCTAAATCCCCAAACAGCAAGCAATGCAGATGTAGAAGTTTTGCCGCGTCTGCTAAAAGCATATGAATCATACTTCAAAACATAGTAATTATGCAACAGTGACCTATGAGGAATGCATGTCTGGCTTCTGTGTGTTTTGATTTGACATATGAGAGAGCTCAGGTTGTACACCAACAGGTTTGTGGTAAGGGAGCTGGCCCACTTGGGGGGGCTCTCTCATATGACATTTAAAGGGCAACTGCACTTCGGGGTGTGGTTTGATGTGGGTATCTCTTGTGTGTGTTCGCAGGTGGGAAGAGTTAGCCAAATTATTTCGCCAATTAGCTTCAGCCGGCTGGTGTGCGACCGTGGCAAAGTTGACCTATTGACCTTTTAAAATGTAGTACATTGTGTAATTTACTAATGGTCCCTAACTAGCCCCATAGGGATATCGAATGTCAAACCAAATTGACCATGGGAATTACGATCAGGTCGCGTGCAGCTGTCCTCCGAATTGATGATTACTTGGGTACTGCCGGCTGAGGGAATGTGGGCAGGATTAAAATAAACCCAACCCATGGAAAACTGTTACTGTAACCTTCATTCCATGACATACAATCTCTTCCTATCATCTCACAAATCGTAGTTTTGGACGAGACTGACATTATGACAAATTATCCTATTTATATTTTGACACTAGAATACATGTTTGACTCATACCAATGACACATAGGTTGCTTTTTAGGAGTAGTCGCTCTTTAATGCTGCATGTTCCAGCAGAGGTGCAGTGGTATGTGGTAGCTAGGCCCTTCTGTCTTCCCCGGGGTGCAGGTGTGGTGATGAGCTGAGCTACCTGCTGAAACTCAGGGCTGGAGAAGTGGCATAGCAGGCTACCAAGACACACACGGGAGAAAAGTGGGATAAAGAAATAGTTTAGAAAAATAAATACACTGCTACGGAATGACATTGTTGTAGTGATGTGCTGTCAAATTTTTCCAAAGTGGTAGTATGAAATTAGGTAGGAGTTGTGAGGATAGATTAACTCCATTTACTGTAGGTAAACATTCGTTGTCGGCTCATAAAAGGACTGCTGTTTAGTCTGGAACACATAGATAGGACGCTTACGTCTGTGTTCACTCCACTCTCCAGTAGTTTGCATATTGTGCACTTTATGTTTTACCTGTCCCTGGAGAGAGACCCTGCATGTTTGAACAGACCAACACATTTTTGTTGTGGACACTAAATCAAAGGCTTCTGCTTCATCTTATCATAAGTCAGTGGTTCTAATGGTTCAGTCGGTTAGAGCAGGGGTTTTCTAACCTCTCCTCTGGGACCCCAATCCTTTCCATGTATTTGAACTATTCCAGAGCTAGCACACCTTGTTCAACTTGTCAACTAATTATCAAGCCCCTTGACTACTTGAATCAGGTGAGCTAGTTCAGTGCCCTCGAAATCCTAGTCCTGGGGACCCAATGGATGCACATTTTTGTTTTTGCCCTAGCACTCACACACCTGATTTCAAATCAAAGGCTTGATGAGGAATGAACTGTGTGAGCGCTAGGAAGGGAAACAAGTGTAACCCTTTGAGGCCCCAGGACCAGGTTTGATTTCGATTCCCAAATGAACCACATATCAAACATGTGTGTCACTGTCAATGCTAAAGCGTCGCTCACACTTTATTTGGATAGTCCATCTCTAGATGGTCTACAGATTTTCATACTATCAACAAACTATATGTTGATAAGCGACTTCTTGCTAAGGTTATGGTTAGTGTTAGTAGATAGTTGAAATGTTACTGACTAGTCTGTAGATTGCCTGTAGAGCAGGGTTCTTCAATTCCGGTCCTGGAGGGCCGAAACACTTCTTTTTTATTTCTACATGGTAGTTATTTGCACTCCCCTGGTGTCCAAGGTCTGAATTAGCCCCTGATTAGAAGGAGAGGATGAAAAACAGGAGTTTCGGCCCTCCGGAATTGAAGAACCGGAATTGAAGAACCCTGCTGTAGAGCATCTACAGATGGACTATCCAATTAAATCGATCAATCAATCAAATGTATTTATAAAGCCCTTTTTACATCAGCAGATGTCACAAAGTGCTATACAGAAACCCAGCCTAAATCCCCAAACAGCAAGCAATGCAGATGTAGAAGTTTTGCCGCGTCTGCTAAAAGCATATGAATCATACTTCAAAACATAGTAATTATGCAACAGTGACCTATGAGGAATGCATGTCTGGCTTCTGTGTGTTTTGATTTGACATATGAGAGAGCTCAGGTTGTACACCAACAGGTTTGTGGTAAGGTTATCACAACACAGTGCTATTGTTTGATCTTATGACCTCCAAGTGCTCCTGGTAATCACCCATTCCTTCCGTGAAGAGTAGGTAGGGCACTTAATTAGTTAATGCCACCCCCTGAAAGTTCTCCCAACATGAGAGCTGTAACAGAACAGTGATTACTATAGCTGTTAACGGTTATTCAAGTCATTTGTGGAATAGTACTGGGATTCAAAAGTGAATGTACCTGTAACACTTTGTTTGGAGCTCTTTGCACATTTGAAGGCGATTTGAGAAATAGTGATTCATTTCAAAGTCATTTCAACATTGCCTGATAGTTAACCTGTGACATTCAAGCTCAAAGGTGATTTAACAAACGGTTACATCCACAGTAGTATCACAGTAGGTTTGGCCTGGTATCATTTGAAACCTGTTGACTTAAAGTAACCTTTAGCTTTCAGCAACTCTTCATTCACATTGTAAACACAAACTAATCTCCGGTTAAACATTGTTGCAATGTGTGTAAGTTATGTGTGCATTTTTTTTGCGCCTTGTACAACACACAATGTATAATATATATTTGTCAAATACAAATGTACTAACTATATACATAAAAAAGATGTATAAAGTTTTGGGCCAGCACTGTTACATTTCCCAATCAATGCCACAAAACCCAGTCATTGACACACTGCTGATGAAACATGTAGCCTAGCTTCTGTTAACCTTTTTTACAGTACACCCAATTCTGCATACCTAAAATTCACCTCTATAATTTCCATAGCTCGCCTAGATAATCACCACCTCTTGAAAAAACAGTCCTTAACACACTTCCATGATTGGTCATATTAACTTGTGTCATTCTGTTTGTCTCCTACCTGTTAGGTCTCTGGATGCTTCAGCTGTTTTCAGTACAACTTTAAAATACTCTGAGGGCTCTGATTCAGAAATTCAGCAGATAGTGGCTGATCTGGAGTCAGACAGCGAGATGAAATCATACCGTTCCACTCTCATTATAAGACCCTCTCCCACCCACGAGGGCATGGATGAATCAAAACAGGGCTTCCGCAAAGTCTCCCGGGTCACTGACAATGACACCACAGACCACACTGAATTCAGTGTGGACTACAGTGAAAGCACTATCACTGACCCCAATAGAACTGAAAGTGACCTAGGTCCAGTTGCACCAGAATACAAATGGAGAAACCGGTATGAGGGGGTGCAAACCACTTTCGACCCCACAGGGGTGTCCTGGCTCTCTGACTCTCAGTCGGATGAGTCAAGATCGTCCACATACAATGGATTCTACTCCTCCCTCTCCCCCTCCCTCTCTGTGTACACACAACACCTCACCTCCCCCGGGCCGCCATTCCAGGAACCTGGCCTGTCCTCCCTCTCCTCGGACATGCCTGGTTCCCCTGGCAACGGTCACTGGCTGAGCGACTGGAGCGAAGTTCAGCTGAGCCATGAGAGTAGCGAGCCAGGAACAGGCAGGGGGAGGAGGAGGGAGTGGGAGGAGGAGGAGGAGGAGGAGGAGGAGGAGGAGGAGCTAGCCACTGCACCTGCAGGACAGAGAGCAAGAGGGGTAGAGCAAAAGAGTAGGGCGGGAGAGTCCGTGGCAAAGAAGATAAAGTCAGGCTGTGATTCACAGTTGCTCCCAGTCTCAAACTTCTCCTCGGCGGGTCAGACCGTTGACGACGTGGACTACAGCAGAGGCAGCAGTGACTCCTTTTCTGGAGTGTACAAGGCCACACGCGTGGAGCTGCTCCCTGACCCCTCCTCCTCAGACCCTTCCCCCTCTTCCTCTCCCGTGACCCCTGACCCGGGCTCCCCCTATCACGGTGACATGGAAAGCCTGGTGGACACCCTGAAGAGCATGAATCCTAGCCCGCTCCAGAGACAGAGGAGCCTGCGTGGGACCATCATCCCCTCCATCTTCTCCTCCCTTTCCCCTATCGTGGAGGATACCCCATGCTCCAGCCCCACCAACACCAAATCTCCCCAGGTGCCCTCTGGGTCTTCGCTGGAGGGCCCTAACGACCGCTACAACCTGCCCGCAGACCTGGGCCTCAACTGGGGTGCCTCCAAAGAGATGCGCTCCCCTCTGGAGTTGATGAAGCTCCAACAGCAGCAGGAGCAGCAGGCTGGGAACCACCATTGGAGCCGTGGAGGCCTCAACCTCCCACTCCGAGCCTCGGCTCTTAACAGCATCGTCGTGAGGAAGAGCTCCTTGGGCAGTGACTCATCCTCAGAGCATTCGCCGTCCCCCACTGCTAAATGGAGGGAGCAACAACCAGTCTCCAAACCCCTCGCGCCTGGGCAACTCGCTCCTCTACTCCAGCTATCGTTCGGCATCGATGGATCAACCCCAGGAGAATGGCAAGGCCCATAGCCCAGGCCAGCGGCCCTCTCTGTTCCGTACGGGCTCCCTACCGGACATAGGGCCTAACCACATGAGCTCAGGGGTTGGTATGGGTATGGCCGGTGGGCCTGGGAGCGGACTTGGATTTGAATCTGGAGTTGGAACCGGAACTGGAACTGACCCTTCAACCCCCTTCCGCTACGAACTTTTCTCCTCCCTGATGTCTGGCTCCTTAACCGGAAACAACACAGACACCAACTCTCGAATGAGCAGGCCCCCTCCCCTCCCTAGCTTCACCTCTACCCTAGGAGACCTTCTCAGTCCCACAAGCTCATCTCTGGACATCCACAGGTCATTCGCCAATGCTAACGACTCCCAGTCCAAGCTCAGCCAGGGGCTGAGTGGTATGGGTTATGTGGGCTCTATTGGTCTGGGTCTGCAGAGGAACTTCAGTAACGAAGGCCTGAACTCACCACTGTTCAACATGGGGTCCCCCCATGGAGGGTCTGTCCATGGAGGATCTCACTTCAGTCCAGAGCCAGAGCCTGAGAAGAACCTGGTGCCCAAGTATAGAGCCTTCCCCGACGCCTATGTGAGTACTGACCTGGGGTTTAATTTAGCATTGGTTTAGTTGCAAGGTTTGAGTTGGAGAAGGTTTCAGTAAGAGATTGTGTGAATACTGGGATCATGGGGATGGTAAAAGGAGTGATAGAATTCATGACAAAGAGTCTTATGGGAAGGGGTCTAGTACAATGGGAATAGAGGCATTTAATAGGACTGCAATTGGATTGGATTTGTCTTGGACACGTATTTCACCATTGGCTTCATGACAATGTTTAGTGAGAGATTGTGAGAACACGGTGTGAGAGGAGAAGAATATAGGAGGGAAAGGAGGAAATGGAATTCAGCCTAAGTATGCAGGATGTACATGTTTTAGACGCTTACTAAGCATTTTATCATTAGTTTATATGGAAGTTTTGAAATACAGATGAGTTTAGGAAGAGATTACGTGACAATCTGATTTGAGAAAAAGTGACAATTCCCGGTGTAGTTTCCTGATTTTCTACCTTTCACTGAATGAGTTCCACCACAGTGATGCCGATGCCCTTCCTGAATGTGAAAGGGTGAGTGCAGTGAAATGGTCTCGGAGACTAGGGTGATGAAACACAATAGATCCATGGCTATATACATTACATCAGCCACAGGATCCGTGCTCCTCTCTCATGTAGCTACTAGCTCTTCCCATCTGCATTATCTCATGTCATAATACAAATTTTCAGGTCTCTAATAAATACAGTAACAGAAAACAATACAGGTGAGCAAAAAAAGAGGGAAATGTTTTTATAAGAAATTCTACAAATAAAGAAGTAGCTTCTTGTGTGGCTGGGGTTGCCGTGGTTATGAGGCATGTGGGTTAAGCCAACATTCCGCAGCGTGCCTCTGAAAATCATTCAGGACAGCTCCTGAACAGTGAGGTCTTTCATGCCAACACACACATTCACCCAGGCACGCACGCCTCACACACCACTCAATATGCCTTAAGGCTTGGATCACATGCAAAACTCATTATATAACACTCCATTGGTTCTTCCACAGAAGAACATGGAACATACCAATGAATGGTTTCACAATCATTCATTATGGCTTGTTTTTACAGTTTACTGACACTGTTTATGCTTACAACATCCAACATGGCCACATCCTTATGTTCCCTCAGTAATGACATTGTCAGGCATATATCAGTCACAATGGTGCATGTAGATACTAACATTAGGATATACTGAGCACAACTCATCCAGTCGAGCTTTATCTTACACCATTCTACCGAGATGTTGGCACTTATCCTGTGCAGACTGTAGTGTTTTGCAGAGTTGGCACAGTGCACGTGTGTTATGTTTGTGTGCTGGTCTGGATATCTAATAGCCCTGCCTCCCCTCAGGCCACAGGTAGACCTGAGCAGCTCATGTTTCTGTCATTGAGACTATTATTGACCCTTTCACCATGTGATTTGGCTCCTCCAATGGAACTGGGTCTCTGACCTCAATTCTATAGGCCGAATCCTTATATAAATCTGAATATGAGATCCACAAGGGTGACTCAAGTTTTTGAGCAAATCTCCCATTGACATCAATCTTTGATTAATGCAAGAGTTTTTGTGCATGCATAGCCTAGATCTCAGCTAAGGATTCGGATAGAAGTCACAAGGGCAGTTCAGTAACCTATAATGTTAGTGGCTGTCTGACCTACATGAATGCTAAGTCACCAGGACAGGGACAGTAAGTGGCCTGTTATGATGTGGGTGTTGCCAGGCAAGTGTTTGGAGACAGTTTGTTTCACCACCCACTGTTGGCTTTTACAGCCTCATCCTGCTTTCCCTCTGCCAACAGAGAGGAGAAGGAAGGGAGAGATGGAGAGAGATAGACAAGCAAAGGGAGAGTGAGATATTAAGAGAAGGAGAGATAGAGATGGGAGCGTGAAAGGGCGAAAGAGAGAGTCCAACACACGCAAAGACAGACCTATCAAAACACAATGGTTGGAGTTTCTGGGGAATTTTAATACTCAGGAATTTACACTATCTTAACAAGATGCGTATAGGGCAACAGGCCTTGGACACACTGTACATCTACAGTGGGGGAAAAAAGTATTTAGTCAGCCACCAATTGTGCAAGTTCTCCCACTTAAAAGATGAGAGAGGCCTGTAATTTTCATCATAGGTACACGTCAACTAAATCACATTGTAGGATTTTTTATGAATTTATTTGCAAATTATGGTGGAAAATAAGTATTTGGTCACCTACAAACAAGCAAGATTTCTGGCTCTCACAGACCTGTAACTTCTTCTTTAAGAGGCTCCTCTGTCCTCCACTCGTTACCTGTATTAATGGCACCTGTTTGAACTTGTTATCAGTATAAAAGACACCTGTCCACAACCTCAAACAGTCACACTCCAAACTCCACTATGGCCAAGACCAAAGAGCTGTCAAAGGACACCAGAAACAAAATTGTAGACCTGCACCAGGCTGGGAAGACTGAATCTGCAATAGGTAAGCAGCTTGGTTTGAAGAAATCAACTGTGGGAGCAATTATTAGGAAATGGAAGACATACAAGACCACTGATAATCTCCCTCGATCTGGGGCTCCACGCAAGATCTCACCCCGTGGGGTCAAAATGATCACAAGAACGGTGAGCAAAAATCCCAGAACCACACGGGGGGGACCTAGTGAATGACCTGCAGAGAGCTGGGACCAAAGTAACAAAGCCTACCATCAGTAACACACTACGCCGCCAGGGACTCAAATCCTGCAGTGCGAGACGTGTCCCCCTGCTTAAGCCAGTACATGTCCAGGCCTGTCTGAAGTTTGCTAGAGTGCATTTGGATGATCCAGAAGAGGATTGGGAGAATGTCATATGGTCAGATGAAACCAAAATATAACTTTTTGGTAAAAACTCAACTCGTCGTGTTTGGAGGACAAAGAATGCTGAGTTGCATCCAAAGAACACCATACCTACTGTGAAGCATGGGGGTGGAAACATCATGCTTTGGGGCTGTTTTTCTGCAAAGGGACCAGGACGACTGATCCGTGTAAAGGAAAGAATGAATGGGGCCATGTATCGTGAGACTTTGAGTGAAAACCTCCTTCCATCAGCAAGGGCATTGAAGATGAAACGTGGCTGGGTCTTTCAGCATGACAATGATCCCAAACACACCGCCCGGGCAACGAAGGAGTGGCATCGTAAGAAGCATTTCAAGGTACTGGAGTGGCCTAGCCAGTCTCCAGATCTCAACCCCATAGAACATCTTTGGAGGGAGTTGAAAGTCTGTGTTGCCCAGCGACAGCCCCAAAACATCACTGCTCTAGAGGAGATCTGCATGGAGGAATGGGCCAAAATACCAGCAACAGTGTGTGAAAACCTTGTGAAGACTTACAGAAAACGTTTGACCTGTGTCATTGCCAACAAAGGGTATATAACAAAGTATTGAGAAACTTTTGTTATTGACCAAATACTTATTTTCCACCATAATTTGCAAATAAATTCATTAAAAATCCTACAATGTGATTTTCTGGATTTTTTTTCTCATTTTGTCTGTCATAGTTGACGTGTACCTATGATGAAAATTACAGGCCTCTCTCATCTTTTTAAGTGGGAGAACTTGCACAATTGGTGGCTGACTAAATACTTTTTTCCCCCACTGTATGACATGAATGAAAGATACCCATCCAGATAGCATCAGGGGCATAATAATCTTGGCACAGTGTTATCTGTTTTTCTTTCTTATGTTAGCACCTTTAAACCAAGCGATCTATCTGTTGAATCCTGCTTGGGCTGCCACACCTCGTCTTTTGTCTTTTCGTCTCTCGTTTACCTCAAGTTTGACCTTTTTGTTTAATGGTGGATCTGATAGAGCTGAGTTGACAGCCTGGCCCGGGAGAGGAGGAGGGAGGGTGGTGGAAGGGGGAAAATGATTGTCTTCTCTTTCTTTCCCCCGCTGTTCCGTTCATCTCTCTTTTACACAAGTCTGTGCACAGTCTGAACGTATCATGCTGAGACTGCAAGACGAAATTTGTAAGCACATTTCCAGCCTGCAGTGCTTGGCTGGAGGTTGACACTTGGGAGGGAGGTGGAGATAGTGGAGAGGCGTGAGTACATGATGGAAGTGACAGTGTTCTAGGGCTGTGACGATACCAGTATCGCAACAAGAAGCAGACCAAACTCTTTGGTCCTTTAAAAACCTGCTGTATGTAAAATATTGTGTGCTATAGCTAGGAAAATAAATAAATGTGACTGGATGACATCATAATGATGTTTGTTTCCAACATTAGGGCTGTTTTCCTAAAGAACTTAAATCGGCTTCATGTTTTGTTTCCTTGCCATGATACTAGAGTATCGCGATACTGGTATTGTCCCGGACCTACGAGCGTTCACTCAATTAATCAGAGACATGGGGAGAGAGAGATAAAGAAAGACAACCGAGGTTAAATGAAAGACTTGAGTAACTGATCTGTCAATCATCAATCATGTACCATGCAGTTGCAGTTGCAGGCACTAAAAAGTTAGGTCACGTCGCGGTATTGACAGAACAATTTCCGCAATGCATGTCTAACGTGCCACTCAAGCGTATTTTACCGATGCCACAAAATCCTGGACTACAGTACAGGGTTTTAAAAAACAAACATGTTCGTGTCCACAACTGTACTTAGTGATTTTCATAGTCCCTCACGGAGTCACAGTCACTGCGGTCACGTGGGTCATACTGGGGTACGGATGTAAAAATCTCTCAATCTCCCATTGGAGCCCATTTAAATTAACCCCAAGGGTGCCTTGTTAAATCTTGTTAATTCTCTTAAATTTAATACCATGACTGTTTTCTCATTAGCTGGGAATGTTGTTTGAAATGTCTGATACAACATACCTTGGTGATATTGTTATCAACCTACTGCATACCCCTTAAAAATATAAATGTTTGTGTGCAGGGTGTGCTATTAGCTTGCTAACACTCATTAAGACAGACATAGAATAGCTATTGCTAGCATTCACTTGTTGAAATTGAAGTAACTTTTGAGTGTAATGGAGTAGACTATGACATAAATATATATCATTCATGATGTTTGGATGGAAGCTATAATCCAGTTATAATATATGTATACAATACCGGTAAAAAGTTTTAGAACACCTAATCATTCAAGGGGTTTTCTTTATTTTCTACATTGTTGAATAATAGTGAAGACATCAAAACTATGAAATAACACATGTAGTATCCAAAAAAGTGTTAAACAAACAAAATGTATTTGATATTTTAGATTCTTCAAATAGCCACCCTTTGCCTTGATGACAGCTTTGCACACTCTTGGCATTCTCTCAACCAGCTTCACCTGGAATGCTTTTCCAACAGTCTTGAAGGAGTTCCCGCATATGCTGAGCACTTGATGGCTGCTTTTACTTCACTCTGCCGTCCGACTCATCCCAAACTATCTCAATTGGGTTGAGGTCTGGGGATGGTGGAGGCCATGTCATCTGATGCAGCACTCAATCACTCTCCTTCTTGGGAAAATAGCCCTTACACAGCCTGGAGGTGTGTTGGTTCATTGTCCTGTTGAAAAACAAATGATAGTCCCACTAAGCCCAAACCAGATGGGATGGTGTATGGCTGCAGAATGCTGTGGTAGCCATGCTGGTTAAGTGTTCCTTGAATTCTAAATAAATCACAGACAGTGTCACCAGCAAAGCACCCCCACACCATAACACCTCCTCCTCCATGCTTTAAGGTGGGAAATACAAATGCGGAGATCATCCGTTCACCCACACCGCGTCTCACAAAGACAACGGCGGTTGGAACCAAAAATCTCAAATTTGGACTCCAGAACAAAGGACACATTTTCACCGGTCTAATGTCCATTGCTCGTGTTTCTTGTCCCAAGCAAGTCTCTTCTTCTTATTGGTGTCCTTTAGTAGTGGTTTCTTTGCAGCAATTCGATCATGAAGACCTGATTCACACAGTCTCCTCTGAACAGTTGATGTTGAGATGTGTCTGTTACTTGAACTCTGTGAAGCATTTATTTGGGCTGCAATTTCTGAGGCTGGTAACTCTAATGAACTTATCCTCTACAGCAGAGGTAACTCTGGGTCATCCATTCCTGTGGCGGTCCTCATGAGAGCCAGTTTCATCATAGCGCTTGATGGTTTTTGCGTCTGCACTTAAATAAACGTTCAAAGTTCTTGAAATGTTCCGTATTGATTGACCTTCATGTCTTAAAGTAATGATGGACTGTCATTTCTCTTTGCTTATTTTAGCTGTTCTTGCCATAATATGGACTTGGTCTTTTACCAAATAGGGCTATCTTCTGTATACCCCCCCCCCCCCCCCCCCCCCCCCTTGTCACAACACAACTGATTGGCTCAAACGCATTAAGAAGGAAAGAAATTCCACAACTTAACTTTTGAAAAGTTAATTGAAATGCATTCCAGGTGACTACCTCATGAAGCTGGTTGAGAGAATGCCAAGTGTGCAAAGCTGTCATCAAAGCAAAGGGTGGCTATTTGAAGAATCTTTGATTTGTTTAACACTTTTTTGGTTACTACATGATTCCATATGTGTTATTTCATAGTTCTGATGTCTTCACTATTATTCTACAATGTAGAAAATAGTAAAAATAAAGAAAAACCCTTGAATGAGTATATATATATATCTATCTCTATATATATATATATATATATACTATGTGTGTCGTTATTGCTTGGCTGCACTTGCTTGGCTGCAAAGATTGCTTCCACATACCCATCTTGTCCCTGCTTGTGTGAATTTCGGTAAAAACTTCACTTTGCTGTGTGGACCTATGCCTGGCATTTCAATCAACGTCACATGCTGATGTCTCACTACTATTGTGTGGTTTATAGTTATAGTCATTATATAACTCTTATACACTGAGTTTGCAAAACATTAAGAACACCTTCCTAATACTGAGTTGCCCCCCCCTTTGCCCTGAGAACATCCTAAATTCATTGGGGCATGGACTCTACAAGCTGTTGAAAGCGTTCCACAGGGATGCTGGCCCATGTTGACTCCAATGCTTCCCACAGTTGTGTCAAGTTGGCTGGATGTCCTTTGGGTGTTGGACTATTCTTGATACACACGGGAGCGTGAAAAACTGTTGAGCGTGAAAAACCCAGCAGTGTTGCAGTTCTTGACACAAACAGGTGTGCCTGGCACTTACTACCATACCCTGTTCAAAGACACTTAAATATTTTGTCTTGCTCATTCACCCTCTGAATGGTACACATACACAATCCATGTCTCAATTGTCTCAAGGCTTAAAAATCCTTCTTTAACCTGTCTCCTCCCCTTCATCTACAGTGATTGAAGTGGATTTAACAGTTGACACCAATAAGGGATCATAGCTTTCACCTGGATCCACCTGGTCAGTCTATGTCATGGAAAGAGCAGTATGCGTTATTAATCATGCCAGTCAATGGCCTTTAGCGTGGACTAGTGTCCTTTACAACCAAATTCCTGTCGCCAACTGAAAATGCACACTTCGCACAGAAACAGTCTGGATAATTACCACGGTAACCAACGCTCAATCACCTTTGACAACAGGACCTTGGCAGTGGTGTGTCGTAACCAGACAGGTGAGGACACTAAATGACTAAAATGTAAATGATGATCCCTCTATTGTGGGAGTGTTCACTCCGTCTCTCAGCAGTTTGTCAGTTTTTTTTCTACCCCCAATGACAACACAGATAAACGTGTTTTGTTTAATGACTGTACGAGTTGACTTACGGCTTACACAACGCACCGGCAGCATTTTCTATACGTTCCATACCAGACTGTTTTGGCTATGGCTCACTGAGTCTGCAAAGGCATCTCTCTCAGCAAGCCATGATGCAAGAACAAAATAGTATGAACCTTTCTTGCCTGTGCCTTATAATCTTGAATTGCACGTAATTAGATGATTTTATAGATGTTGACACAGCTCCTTTGATACATTTGAAAAGGTTTCAGTTTGTTAATCCAATGTTGGGATTTGTAATAGGTTATGACATTTTAAACAGACATCTGAGATGGCTGGGAGGGGGGGGGGGGGGGTCTTAGACTAGAGAAAACTGTCTAACAGTCAATCTGGTCCTACCTGTCTTTGTGAAGCCCTGAAGCATTATAACTTGTGACAAAGATGAGGGTGGCCTTTTCCCTGTGAAGGGCAATGGCAAAGCTAAGGTAGGTATTTTAAACTGTGGCTCAATCCTACCCTCTGCTCATTTTCAAGTCAAGTCAACAGGTGTCCTGTTACTGTTTGGAATGCTCAAGCTGAATGAAGTCGAGGGCCACTTTGTTATAGTTCAAGACTAATTTAGCCACAAATGTTTCAGGGTGCAGTGTAAAGGCAGTAAGTCTTACTAGACAGTCATACTAGGATAAACAATCTGTGGACTGGAGCAGCAACATATTCTGTTCATGACCTGAATACGATATGAAAGTCCCACCTACTTCCTGGATCATGTCCCACGCTGTTTTTGAATGGCCTTCAAGATTGTCATCAAATGTATGAAAATGCAGTCATTTAATATATGCTCAAAAAAATAAAGGGAACACTTAAACAACACATCCTAGATCTGAATGAATGAAATAATATTATTAAATACTTTTTTCTTTACATAGTTGAATGTGCTGACAACAAAATCACACAAAAATGATCAATTAAATCAAATTTATCAACCCATGGAGGTCTGGATTTGGAGTCACCCTCAAAATTAAAATGGAAAACCACACTACAGGCTGATCCAACTTTGATGTAATGTCCTTAAAACAAGTCAAAATGAGGCTCAGTAGTGTGTGTGGCCTCCACGTGCCTGTATGACCTCCCTACAACACCTGGGCATGCTCCTGATGAGGTGGCGGATGGTCTCCTGAGGGATCTCCTCCCAGACCTGGACTAAAGCATCCGCCAACTCCTGGACAGTCTGTGGTGCAACGTGGCGTTGGTGGATGGAGCGAGACATGATGTCCCAGATATGCTCAATTGGATTCAGGTCTGGGGAACGGGCGGGCCAGTCCATAGCATCAATGCCTTCCTCTTGCAGGAACTGCTGACACACTCCAGCCACATGAGGTCTAGCATTGTCTTGCATTAGGAGGAACCCAGGGCCAACCGCACCAGCATATGGTCTCACAAGGGGTCTGAGGATCTCATCTCGGTACCTAATGGCAGTCAGGCTACCTCTGGCGAGCACATGGAGGGCTGTGCGGCCCGCCAAAGAAATGCCACCCCACACCATGACTGACCCAACGCCAAACCGGTCATGCTGGAGGATGTTGCAGGCAGCAGAACGTTCTCCACGGCGTCTCCCGACTCTGTCATGTCTGTCACATGTGCTCAGTGTGAACCTGCTTTCATCTGTGAAGAGCACAGGGCGCCAGTGGCGAATTTGCCAATCTTGGTGTTCTCTGGCAAATGCCAAACGTCCTGCACGGTGTTGGGCTGTAAGCACAACCCCCACCTGTGGATGTCGGGCCCTCATACCACCCTCATGGAGTCTGTTTCTGACCGTTTGAGCAGACACATGCACATTTGTGGCCTGCTGGAGGTCATTTTGCAGGGCTCTGGCAGTGCTCCTCCTGCTCCTCCTTGCTCAAAGGTGGAGGTAGCGGTCCTGCTGCTGAGTTGTTGCCCTCCTACGGCCTCCTCCACGTCTCCTGATGTACTGGCCTGTCTCCTGGTAGCGCCTCCATGCTCTGGACACTATGCTGACAGACACAGCAAACCTTCTTGCCACAGCTCGCATTGATGTGCCATCCTGGATGAGCTGCACTATCTGAGCCACTTGTGTGGGTTGTAGACTCCGTCTCATGCTACCACTATAGTGAAAGCACCGCCAGCATTCAAAAGTGAACAAAACATCAGCCAGGAAGCATAGGAACTGAGAAGTGGTCTGTGGTCACCACCTGCAGAACCACTTCTTTATTGGGGGTGTCTTGCTAATTGCCTATAACTTCCACCTGTTGTCTATTCCATTTGCACAACAGCATGTGAAATGTATTGTCAATCAGTGTTACTTCCTAAATGGACAGTTTGATTTCACAGAAGTGTGATTGACTTGGAGTTACATTGTGTTGTTTAAGTGTTCCCTTTATTTTTTTGAGCAGTGTATAAAATTATATTTGTATTCATGTATTAATTTACTTCTACCTGATGCCTTTCGTTAAGGTTTTCGATAGTGTTTTCTTTTCGTAAACGAAAGCCTTCATAGAAGGCATTGGGTATAATTAAATTAATCGACTAATACGAATATAATTTTACATATCTTAAATGAACGCGTTTTCATGAATTTGATTATATAAACTTGAAGGCCATTCAAAAACAGGGTTGGATATGATCCAGGAAGTAGGAGGGACTTTCAAACCGTATTTGATCTTTGATTTCAGAGTGTAAGGAGATCTAGTGGATAAGTTCCTATTTCCTATGAGCTCCTACTGCAAAGAGTCAAGCAGATATTTGATACCCTAATGACTTGCACATTACGACACACACACACACACACACACACACACAAACTCTCTACCTGTCTGCCCAGAAAGGTGAAGGACTACAGACCACAGTGTGGACACATTCTATCGCATTCCAACTACATGTCACCAGTTCCCCAAGTACACAAGAATGCGTCATTCTGACTTCTCTCTGGGAGATCTGAGAGGTTGTTGTGCTTTCAAAATGGCCGCTCCCCTCTCCTTGTCTTACTCAGAACAAGTTCTCCTAGATTAAGTAATGCTGAGATTGTTAGACATGTGTGTCCTACTGGCTGAAATAATGTGAAATAGATAAACAGTAGTAAATCACTGCAAAGGGTATTCCCCCTTTTGAATGGTTAATTGTGTGGACAAACACACACACACACACACACACACACACACACACACAGAGTCGTTTTTGTCTATGTCATACATCGTTCCTCTCAATGTGAAGTTAATGTTTGCATTCTCTCAGGGAGTAATGGGACATGGGTGGCCTTGTGTGTTAATCAGTATTTGCAAAACGGGTTGACAGGGATGCTGGGGGTTGTGGGTTTACCATTTCTGTAGTTGTTGGGTACTATTGCTGCCGTAGTTTAGATATTTTGAGGTTTGGTATGTTAACTATTTAGATTTGAATCCCTAATATCTTGTCAAAGACAAGTTAAACATGACATACTGTAGAAAGTCTAGTGAAGCACTGTTAAAATAAAAAATAAAAATACATTTTAGTCATTTAGCAGACGCTCTTATCCAGAGCGACTTAGTTAGTGCATTCATCTTAAAAGATTGCTAGGTAAGATAACTATGTGCTATTTATAGTGGTTTGATAAAATATGAAATGACTAAATGGCTGTTTTCTCCGTGTGTCTGCAGCTCACCAAGGAGAAAGAACATGGAAAGCTCAACCCTCGGCCAGGAAAGGTGAGTCTGTCTGACTTTTTATTTATTTATTGAACCTTTATTTAACTAGGCAAGTCAGTTAAGAACAAATTCTTATTTACAATGACGGCCTGCCAAAAGGCAAAAGGCCTCCTGCGGGAACGCGGCTGGGATAAAAAAATACAAAATAAAAATAAAGGACCAAATACATATCACAACAAGAGAGACAACACTACATTAAAAGAGACCTAAGACAACAACATAGCATGGCAGCAACACACGACAACACAGCAAGGTAGCAACCCAACATGAAAACAACATGGTAGTAACACATGGCAGCAGCACAACATGGTAGCGGCACAAGACTTGGTACAAACATTATTGGGCACAGACAACAGCACAAAGGGCAAGAAGGTAGAGACAACAATACATCACGCGAAGCAGCCACAACTGTCAGTAAGAGTGTCCATGATTGAGTCTTTGAATGAAGAGATGGAGATAAAACTGTCCAGTTTGAGTTTTTTTTGCAGCTCGTTCCAGTCGCTAGCTGCAGCGAACTGGAAAGAGGAGCGACCCAGGGATGTGTGTGTTTTGGGGACCTTTAACAGAATATGACTGACAGAACGGGTGTTGTATGTATGATTATTATTATATTATTATTGTATGTGGAGGATGAGGGCTGCAGTAGGTATCTCAGATAAGGGGGAGTGAGGCCTAAGAGGGTTTTGTAAATAAGCATCAACCAGTGGGTCTTGCGACGTGTATACAGAGATGACCAGCTTACAGAGGAGTATAGAGTGCAGTGATGTGTCCTATAAGGACCATTGGTGGCAAATCTGATGGCCGAAGGGTAAAGAACATCTAGCCGCTCGAGAGCACCCTTCTATAAATTACGTCTCCGTAATCTAGCATGGGTAGGATGGTCATCTGAATCAGGGTTAGTTTGGCAGCTGGGGTGAAAGAGGAGCGATTACGATAGAGGAAACCAAGTCTAGATGTAACCTTAGCCTGCAGCTTTGATATGTGCTGAGAGAAGAACAGTGTACTGTCTAGCCATACTCCCAAGTACCTGTATGAGGTGACTACCTCAAGCTCTAAACCCTCAGAGGTAGTAATCACACCGGTGGGGAGAGGGGCATTCTTCTTACCAAACCACTTGACCTTTGTTTTGGATGTGTTCAGAACAAGGTTTAAGGGCAGAGAAAGCTTGTTGGACACTAAGAAAGCTTTGTTGTAGATCGTTTAGCACAAGATCCGGGGAGGGGCCAGCAGAGTATAAGACTGTATCATCTGCATATAAATGGGTGAGAGACCTTCCTACTGCCTGAGCTATATTGTTGATGTAAATTGAGAAGAGCGTGGGTCCTAGGATTGAGCCTTGGGGTACTCCCTCGGTGACAGGCAGTGGCTGAGATAGCAGATGTTCTGACTTTATACACTGCACTCTTTGAGAGAGGTAGTTAGCAAATTAGGCAGAAGACCCCTCAGAGACACCAATACTCCTTAGTTGGCCGACAAGGATGGAATGGTCTACCGTATCAAAAGCTTTGGCCAAGTCAATAAAAATAGTAACACAACATTGCTTAGAATCAATGGAAATGGTGACATCATTTAGGACCTTTTAAGGTTTCAGTGACACATTCATAACCTGAGCGGAAACCAGATTGCATACCAGAGAGAATACTATAGACGTCAAGAAAGCCAGTCAGCTGAATATTGACACGTTTTTCCAACACTTTTGATAAACAGGGCAAAATAGAAATTGGCCTATAACATTTAGGATCAGCTTGATCTCCCCCTTTAAATAAAGGACGCACCGTGGCTGCCTTCCATGCAATGGGAACCTCCCCAGAGAGGAGAGACAGGTTAAAAAGGTCAGAGAGGATAGGCAATGATATGGGCTGCAACCTTAAAGACGAAAGAGTCTAAACCATCTGACCCAGATGGTTTTTTGGTGTCAAGTTTAAGGAGCTCCTTTAGCACGTCGGACTCTGTGACCGCCTGCAGGAGAAACTTTGTAGCGGGACAGGGGGAAAAGAGGGAGGAGCATCGGGGCTAGTCGCATTAGAACGGCTGGGAGATGAGGAAATGTTGGACGGGCAAGGAGGCATGGCTGAGTCAAATAGGAATCCTGACTTAATGGTGATTAAAGAGCTCAGCCATGTGCTCTATGTCAGTAACAACCACATCATCAACGCTAAGGGACATTGGCAGCTGTGAGGAGGAGGGTTTATTCTCCAGGTGAAACAACTACAGGAATCACCCACCTCTATCCCTTACCTATCGTCTTTGTCCTACAGTATACAATTTGTCCTACAGTAAAGGTCAATGTCCCATTGCAACCTTTTTTAATGTAATAAAGGATGACTGCTCACCAGGTTACCCTTATCAAAAAAAGTATATTTTGCCAGCCTTCTTGACTTGAACTATGGATGTCTCCAAGCAGCAATAGTAACCACAACATCTTTAAACATATTTTTTACACCCCAGTGTTCTTTAATGTAGGATTAATGATGATAATTCAAAGTGAATTAATGGCTTCACAGTTCACCGTACCCCAATGTGACAGTTAGTTGCCAAAGGCGAGTAATTAAGGATGAGGAGAGTGATCTCATGTAGAGCATGGTGAAGCTGATGAAATTAGATTAGTATGATTCCATTCAGATTCACTCAGCCAAACATCGCTCTCTATTTGGGCTGTTGAATATTTGGATCTATCACTCAGAACTGTGTGGAAGTGGAAATATGCCACATCTTCACAAAGAAAGCCATAAAAAAAATTCCAATGCACACTCAGTGGTTTGGACAATATTACAAAAAGCCCAGTTCATTCACTATAGTCCTAACATACTAAGAGAGCAGGGGTTCCCAACCTAAGGATCGCAACCCCAGCATGGGGTCGCCAAAGCTTACAGTGCTTGATTTGAGAGAAAATTAAATCAAAATCAGTGCATCATTTGTTGTCACGGACGTTGAAGGACGGGTCAGACCAAGGCGCAGCGTGATATGCATACATGTTTATTTCACAACAAATAAACACACGACAGAACAACGAACCAACGAAATGTGAAGTCCAAAGGCTGAACACAAAACTAGCCTAAACACGGAACAAGATCCCACAACTACCTAGTGCCAATAGGCTGCCTAAGTATGATCCCCAATCAGAGACAACGAGCGACAGCTGCCTCTGATTGGGAACCACACCGGCCAACATAGATCTATACATACTAGAACACAAACATAGAACATTCACACCCTGACTCAACATATAAGAGTCCCCTGAGTCAGGGCGTGACAGTACCCCCCCCCCCCAAAGGTGCAGACTCCGACCGCACAACTTTTACACAACAGGGTAGGGGCCGGGTGGGCATTCCGCCTCGGAGGCGGATCCGGCTCCGGGCGTGACGACCACATACGCTCCGCCTCCCTGTTGCGCCCCTGGTCTGGTCTGGACCTCGGCGCGCTGCTTCCCCTCTCCTTCCTCCCACGATACTCCAAGCCCTGTCTGGACCCTGGTGTGGGAGACCCCGAACATGGAGAGGGGCTGACATCTGGGTCTGGACTGGAACCGCTGACCGGAGCTGGACCGGGCACCGGTGGAGCGGACTGCTCAGACTCCGGACTGGAGCCGCTGACCGGAGCTGGACTAGGCACCGGTGGAACGGACTGCTCTGGCTCCGGAGTGGAGCCGCTGACCGGAGCTGGATCAGGCACCGGTGGAGCGGACTGCTCTGCCTCCGGAGTGGAGCAGCTGACCGGTGCCTGACCAGGCACCGGTGGAACGGGCACGGGCTGTGCCAGACTGGTCTGGTGCGAGGAGCAGGCACGGGCCGGACCGGACTAGGAACACGCACCACTGGCTTGGTGCGAGGATCAGGAACAGGCCGGGCCGGACTGGGAACACGCACCACTGGCTTGGTGCGAGGAGCAGGAACAGGCTGGGCCGGACTGGCGACACGCACCACTGGCATGGTGCGAGGAGCAGGAACGGGCCGGGCCGGACTGGCGACACGCACCACTGGCTTGGTGCGGGGAGCAGGAACGGGCCGTACCGGACTGTGGAGGCAGACTGGAGGTCTGGAGCAGAGAGCTGACACAACCCGTCCTGGCTGGATGCCTACTTCCGCACAGTATATGTGAGGCATTAGCACAGGACGCACTGGGCTGTGCACGCGCACTGGCGATACAGTACGCAGAACCGGCGCAGGATATGTGGGACCGAGGAGGCGTACTGAAGACCAGGAGCGTTGAGCCGGCACACCCCGTCCTGGCTGGATGCCCATCTTCGCACGGCACGTGTGTGGTGCTAGCACAGGACGTACAGGACTGTGCCGGCGCACTGGCAACACAGTACGTTGCATCGCATAACACGGAGCCTGCCCAGTCACTTCCTCGCGTGAGTACGGGGAGTTGGCTCTGCTCTGAAACTAGGCTCCGCCAACCACATTTTCTTGGGGCTGCTTCTCGGGCTTCCTCCTCGACCGGAGCCCTCAGTGTTGCCGTTGCTCCTCTCCTGCCTGGGCATCTACCTTCGCCCATGGTCCTTTCCCCGCAAATATCTGTTCCCACGACACATCTTCCCCACCTGTGTCCAGGGTGTTCGGTCCTCCTGGGCACGCTGCTTGGTCCGTGTTTGGTGGGATCTTCTGTCACGGACATTGAAGGACGGGTCAGACCAAGGCGCAGCGTGATATGCATACATGTTTATTTCACAACGAATAAACACACGACAAAACAACGAACCAACGAAATGTGAAGTCCAAAGGCTGAACACAAAACTAGCCTAAACACGGAACAAGATCCCACAACTACCTAGTGCCAATAGGCTGCCTAGTGCCAAGTATGATCCCCAATCAGAGACAACGCGCGACAGCTGCCTCTGATTGGGAACCACACCGGCCAACATAGATCTATACATAATAGAACACAAACATAGAAAATACAACATAGAACATTCACACCCTGACTCAACATATAAGAGTCCCCTGAGTCAGGGCGTGACATTTGTAAATTGGGAGGTGCCGGAACAAAAAGTGAGCACGAGAGGGGGGTGACCTGGGGAGCTCTGAGGTACTGGAACGCGTGAGAAAAAAAGCATAAAGCATTGCATGCATATCATCACATTTGCGTAGTTGCATAGAGCAGTAGAGTAGAGGCATTGACACATGGGGAACATTTCAGTAGCCTAGGGTACGGGAAAAATGTGGCCTTTTATAAACACATTTCAGCATTTTGGCAGAATCTTTTTTAATACCGTACGAATGATCGAAATGACAGGCTACTTTGACACTGACAAATTGCGAATCTGAGATCAATAAAAACTACCTTGAATCCATCAATAGCATAGGCCTAGGTGTGTGGAAACTCATATTGTAGGCTGCAATATGAGGAGGAAATTATAGTCCTAAACATGCTTTCCAGTTTCACTGACTCACCCAATAATGCGCAGCTCACTCGCCGGTGATGGCCAATGCGTTCGTCCCAAAAGCTTATATCTCGCTCTTGTTTAACGAAGAGGCAACTCAAATGAACTTTTATTAGAATTCTTACATTGCAAAAAGTGACTTTTTTCATGTCACGAGAGGTACCGGATCCGGCCAAAGAGGTGCCGGATCCTGTTCCGGCAGGATCCGGCTCAAATTAAGCACTGGGCGTACTTGATGGGCATGTTTTAGTTTTATTGTTGGTAACAGTTTCAGTCTCTCATTATTAGCCATTCACAATTATTTCCTCTTTGGCAGAAGTTACATCCATGCCTTGCCAATGCTTTTGTGCTCCAGTCAACGATCCTGTTCGCAAACAATTATTGTGGTATTTCAACACTGAGTAACACTAGCTAAATACCTGCCCTATTTACCTATTGCCATTAAGATGGAGATTATGAAACTAGATACATGTCAAGCTTGCTCCTGCATGCAACCAATTAGCTTTTCTCCCAACTGTATCAATAAACCTGGAATTCGTCATGGCACCTACAGACTTGCTTGACATTTAGCTCAGACAGTTTCTGATTAAAGAGCCTAGCTGTGATACACAATGGCATACCTTACCTGAACGTTCACATGGTTAACAACACAAAGCGCTGTATCTAAGTTGCATCACACTCTTTTTGCTGGTTGCTGCCTCCAGTGATGGAGGAAAGAGCTGGATAGAGTTAGCCTGGTCATTAGATCAGTTTGTTCCTTTAATGTACGATAAGAAGTTGAGGCCCTCAACAAACATGAGTCAAGGTGCAAACCCAAAAATTACATCATCATTGAAAAGAAAAGGGTGCAACGCTCGCTCACCATTAAAAACATATTATTTTATTTGAGCAACTATTAAAAGCTTGACATTTGAGCCTTCATTCCCTTTTACAATGGCCTTCATCAGAACCTTTTAATGTATGTCAGAGATATTGGCTAAAGCACAAACAGATAGAGGATGGAGCATGGGACAGTATCAGTGTGGCGTTTTTAATTTGAGCATCTCTAATGAAATGGTGCTGTCTTTTCCAGATGTTCATCTTTGACCAGCCAGGGATGTGTGGCCAGATGATTGAGGTGCGGAGTGACGTCATTGATGCCACACCCTGGCAACTACAGGAGACTATCTCTATCAGGGTTGTCAGGGGAGGGTAAGTGTTCAAATGCACACTTACTCACTCACTGCTGTAGTTATAACTGCGTGTGGACTTTAGACTCGAGGGGATGCACACACCCACACACATGGGTATATGACATGCACGTGTACACACACACACACACACAAACACACACACACACACACACACACACACAAACACACAAACAAACAAACACAAACACACAAACAAACAGACAAAACAGTCAGTTGTGAACAGATCAACAATGGATGTAATCGCCAGTTCCAAAGCACCTTACGTGCCCTGGAAAAAACACAGAGCCACAGAGAAATTGTAATTGGTGCCTATATTTTACTGCCTCCAGCAGCAAACAAAATCAAAGGCCACACTTTTTCCTCATGTCACAAGTCACTTCCACATATTTGGCCCAACCTCAAAGCAAGAAACAATATTTGAACTGTCTTGTCAAGGTTATTAAAGTATCTCCAATGCTGCCAAATCATGTAGATCTTGAATGCCCCCTTATCACCCACTGAGATACACGGAACTGAACACCAATGTCTGAAATTGGACACGCAATTGGATATCACAAAATTTGAGAGAAAAGGGGGTAAAAAAAAAAGGTGCTATCCAGAACCTAAAAGGGTTATTTGACTCTCCCAATAGGATAACCCTTTGAAGAACCCTTTTTGGTTCCAGGTAGAAACCCTTTTCAACTCGGTGGGATATGATTATGAATGAATCAACATATTGTGTGCATTTGCATAACTGGATAAATATTTATACTTACCCATTAATATCTTGAATAGTGACACCCGTGCCATCCTCAGTGTGCTAGTGTAGAGCTCTACCAGTGTGTCCATTTGTTAGAGCAATGCTCAATCTATTCACCAGCTGTGGCTGTTTAAATCACCTTTGAAATAGGGCATGCATTGTGTTCAAATTAATCTTGTTCAGACCATGGACCGTTACTTTTCATTTTCCTGTCTTTCCATTCCTCTCTTCAGCTGGGTCTTGTACGAGAAGCCCAACTTCAAAGGGGAGAAGATAGCTTTGGACGAGGGGAGACATAGAGCTCACCTATCCCTTCGACCCCCCTGAGGAGGAGGAGGAACAACAGCAGAAAAATGGACAGAAGGGACAGAAGGAGGGAGGAGAAGAAGTAGTGGAGGCCAAGCCGGCCAGGAGGTTCATCATAGGATCAGTACGAAGAGCAGTCAGGGTAAGAAGAAGTCACAGATTACCCTTATGAGGACTTGTTACTATTATGATTAGCCATAGAGCAGTGTTTCTCAAACCAGGCCTTTTTGAGTAACCGCTAATTCCAAAGGCTTTAGGTGTGTTAGGTTCTAAATTCTGGTACAAATCCAGTCGGACACCAAAGGAAGCTCAGACTAGATTTATTACACCCAAACTGGATGTCATGGCTGCATAGCACACATACAATTCACACAAGTATATATTTATACCTTCCGATTAGGCGGATTCACCTCCTTGCATGTCTAGAATAAACATTAATTCTCTGTTGCTGGGTAAGAACTGAGTCTGTTCCTTCTATTGGTGTTATCGTGGCCCAGCCTGAGTCCAGAACCTTCTTGGTCAGGGGTGTGTGTATGAGAGATAAGACTACACTTGGAGTATTGTCGAGATGGGCCCCTCTAGCCCCACCCTCTCAGAGGTTTCTTCTCTCTTCAACTGTTGTCCTCACCTCGATGTTGAACTCCACGTCTCTCCCTGCCCTAGTTCAAACAGAAACTAGCCTGACTTTACCAGGAACTGAGACTCGACTGTGGCTCTTCACCTACCTCCTTAGTAATATTAATATAAAACAATAACATATCTGGACAAAGACACTTTCTGTATTTCCCTTGTCGCTGCATTAACACTCTCCAGCTCCAACATCCTAGCCAATAACAAATTATTCCTACTAATAAGCGGAATTATGCTATTATAAACGGACTCATTATGCAACTACAATGGGCTCAAGTCAAATAATCTCCAACAGGTGGATGAATGCCACAAGGCAAGAGTTTGGCAAGAGTTATGCCAATCTGATTAGGTGTGGTTCAGTAGAAGATGTGTTGACAGACTCTGGCACTCTTAAGGATTGCTGCCTCGAAATGCCGTCTCCTTTGTTAGAGCCTGTATCACAAATGCGCTGCTCTCTGTGAAACTATAGCACCCTCTAGTCATACTTGACATTTCTCTCTGCCCCCACAGGACTACAGTGTGCCAGAGATCAGTCTGTTCCCAGAGGAGAATGCAGAGGGGAAGAAGGTGATCTTCAGAGACACGTCAGATGACGCCAGGATATTCGGCTTCCCCATCAAAGCCAACTCCATTATCATCAATGCTGGACTGTGAGTAACAGAGTCTGCTCTGCCAACTACTTTTTAGTAGGACACGTGTGGCACAAGGATAAACATTTTATGAAAGTAGATGATTGTTTAATCAAATATAGCTTCAAATTAAATATGTCTTTATATTGTTTATTTTATCGACATAATGACATGGTTTTGTGAGGTCTATCTTCTGTTATGATATCCCTGTTCTGATTGGATTGACTCTCTTCTCTCTTCAGATGGCTGGTGTACCCTCAGCCTTTCTTCCAGGGCGTACCACGTGTTCTGGAGGTGGGGGGGTTCCCCAACCCTGCAGCCTGGGGCGTGGAACAACCCTACGTGGGCTCAGTGCACCCTCTCAAAATCGTAAGAATCCCCTCCACCTCCAGAACACCTTTCACCTTCTAGAGTTGTGCAGACTTATTACAATTAGGACAATGTACACGGTTTAGATTTAGATTGAGTAGAATACACATTCCCATTCAACGTCATTTTACAGGGGAACAAGGTAATGCATTACATTATAGATTAAATTAGTTAAGATTACATTTAAGAAATGTTTTTTTTTTACAGGGTGAACCAAGAGTGGAGAAACCTGGTGAGCCCAAGGTAAGAGATACGGCAATGCGATGGCCATGATATTGAAATGAATGAATGAACGAGTCAATCAAACAATCAATAAATCTAATTACACAACTTCAAATGATGCATGTTGTTCCCTGTTGTTTCCAGCTGGTGCTATATGACAAGCCTTACTTCACTGGGAAGTCGAGGACGATTTACACCAATATGAGAGACTTCATGACCAGACTGGATAGACAGCAGACTGCCTTCATGTACAGCGCTGGATCCATCAAAGTACAGGGAGGCTGGTGAGTAAACTGTGTGTGTGTGTGTGTGTGTGTGTATGCATGTGTGAGTGTCTTACTTCATGCATCTCATCCTGTGTCTCCCTGTACTTCTAGCTGGGTGGGCTATGAGAAGGAGGGTTTCCGAGGCCACCAGTATCTGTTGGAGGAGGGAGAGTACCACGACTGGAGGGTGTGGGGGGGCTGCGATGCCGAGCTGCGCTCTGTCAGAGTCATACGAGCGGTGAGTGGGCCATACCATCACTTAACACCCCCATCTCTATCAGGACCTTGTATCTTGTATCCAGCTGCTGCAGGAATGACCATGTCCTAAATGGCATATTTATCATACACTGAGTTTACAAAACAGCTCTTTCCATTATGTAGACTGACCAGGTGAAAGCTATGATCCCTTATTGATGTCACTTGTTAATACCACTTCAATCAGTGTAGATGATGGGTATGAGACGAGTTAATACTAGAACCGCTGGGTGTCGATGGACCCCCCCTTCAAGCTAATGAGCAGTCATTATGACTGCAACATTATAACAGTGTAATTAAAAAATTAAAAGTTTCATATGCTATAGCAAAAATTATCATTTGGTTGTGTTTATGAAGGCCTTGGGTAACATTAGAATATGATTTGTATTTTATTTCAAATAACACAATAGCATTTTCATTAGTTTATGTTACTGTAGGCTAAATGCCCAACTAAAAAAAAGCCAACATTCAAGTGTTCAATCCATTTTATTAGTGGAGTGCGTTTGTTACAACTATGAAACAGAAAGCATATGTGTTGGAACATGGTAACAGCTTATTTTTAGAACGACAAAATCAAATAAAAAAAATACCCCAACCACCAAGAAGCACGGTCAAAAGACGTGTGGTCAAATGATGAAAACATCAGTAGCCTAAACATTATAAGCACAAAGTGGCCTTGATAAATAGTGAAACTCGGCACAAAATAAATAATGGCATTATAATGAATATAAGTGTCGATATGACTGCAGTCATAAATAGTCAATTATTTTCAGCTCGTGCTTGTGTGCATCTTCACGCAATGGCATCAGTTGGATTTCATTTAGCTGTTATCGCTTGCCCTAACAGTTGACACAAAGTTCGTAACTTTCACTTGCTTTGACATACCATTGTTTGGTTGTAGTGTGTAATAGTATCCGGTTTTCCCTTGGTTGTATTCCGTTGTCTTGTCATTCTTCAGCACTGTTGTGGAGTACAACAGCTGTGCAGGTGCCTTATTTTGCGCAGAAGGAGCTCCCGTCTCACTTTGTTCATGGTGCCGGCCAGACTTGTTTTCTTTGCAAGCAACTTGTTCGCCAATGACAGTGAAGTTAAGAAATTGTCCATGGTGACATTGCTCCGCTTGCCAATGTAAGGTTCCACAAGCCTCATCACCACATTCTCTGACACTCTCGCCTCCTGCCGGATGTGGATATTTTCTCAGAGATTGAAAGCTGTTCAGCATGTACAATTACGCACACTCTCGCTGTGTAGCCTACTCCAAGTAGGCCAGAGTAGACTGTTAAGACTGCTTTGATTCGGTGGACTGATATAGGGTACATACCATTTTAAGATTATAATTAGAATGGATCAATACAATAGACTGGCCCGCCCTGTTCTTCATTCACAATTGGTGATTACATAATTATGCCTCTTTTGCTTCCCCTCGCTCATCAACTCACCCATTCTCCCCATCATACTTTACTTAATTTATTTCAGCTGTTGTTATACAGTGAGGGAAAAAAAGTATTTGATCCCCTGCTGATTTTGTAAGTTTGCCCACTGACAAAGAAATGATCAGTCTATAATTTTAATGGTAGGTTTATTTGAACAGTGAGAGACAGAATAACAACAAAAAAATCCAGAAAAACGCATGTCAAAATTTTTATAAATTGATTTGCATTTTAATGAGAGAAATAAGTATTTGACCCCCTCTCAATCAGAAAGATTTCTGGCTCCCAGGTGTCTTTTACACATGTAACGAGCTGAGATTAGGAGCACACTCTTAAAGGGAGTGCTCCTAATCTCAGTTTGTTACCTGTATAAAAAACACCTGTCCACAGAAGCAATCAATCAGATTCCAAACTCTCCACCATGGCCAAGACCAAATAGCTCTCCAAGGATGTCAGGGACAAGATTGTAGACCTACACAAGGCTGGAATGGGCTACAAGACCATCGCCAAGCAGCTTGGTGAGAAGGTGACAACAATTGGTGCGATTATTCGCAAATGGAAGAAACACAAAATAACAGTCAATTTCCCTCGGCCTGTGGCTCCATACAAGATCTCACCTCGTGGAGTTGCAATGATCATGAGAACGGTGAGGAATCAGCCCAGAACTACAGGGGAGGATCTTGTCAATGATCTCAAGGCTGCTGGGACCATAGTCACCAAGAAAACAATTGGAAACACACTACGCTGTGAAGGACTGAAATCCTGCAGCGCCCGCAAGGTCCCCCTGCTCAAGAAAGCACATATACAGGGCCGTCTGAAGTTTGCTAATGAACATCTGAATGATTCAGAGGAGAACTGGGTGAAAGTGTTGTGGTCAGATGAGACCAAAATCGAGCTCTTTGGCATCAACTCAACTCGCCGTGTTTGGAGGAGGAGGAATGCTGCCTATGACCCCAAGAACACCATCCCCACCGTCAGACATTGAGGTGGAAACATTATGCTTTGGGGGTGTTTTTCTGCTAAGGGGACAGGACAACTTCACCGCATCAAAGGAACGATGGACAGGGCCATGTACCGTAAAACCTTGGGTGAGAACCTCCTTCCCTCAGCCAGGGCATTGAAAATGGGTCGTGGATGGGTATTCCAGCATGACAATGACCCAAAACACACGACCAAGGCAACAAAGGAGTGGCTCAAGAAGAAGCACATTAAGGTCCTGGAGTGGCCTAGCCAGTCTCCAGACCTTAATCCCATATAAAATCTGTGGAGGGAGCTGAAGATTCGAGTTGCCAAATGTCAGCCTCGAAACCTTAATGACTTGGAGATGATCTGCAAAGAGGAGTGGAACAAAATCCCTCCTGAGATGTGTGCAAACCTGGTGGCCAACTACAAGAAACGTCTGACCTCTGTGACTGCCAACAAGGGTTTTGCCACCAAGTACTAAATCATGTTTTGCAGAGGGGTCAAATACTTATTTCCCTCATTAAAATGCAAATCAATTTATAACATTTTTGACATGCGTTTTTCTGGATTTTTTTGTTGTTATTCTGTCTCTCACTGTTCAAATAAACCTACCATTAAAATGATAGACTGATCATGTCTTTGTCAGTGGGCAAACGTACAAAATCAGCAGGGGATCAAATACTTTTTTCCCTCACTGTATGTGTGAAATTAGTTTCGGTATAGTTCAGGTTCAGTTTCGAGGCAATTGTCCGGGGGATTATCAACTGGGCCCTGCACTTTCAACTGTCGGTAGAAGAAGGAGATTAGGCCCTACTGTTGGGAGAAGGAGGGGCAACTGGGAAAACCAGTCCAAAAAATGACATGCCCTTCTAAAACTGGTTATAACTCCAGTTCTGTTTGTGATATTAAGATTCTAACAACGACAGTGTGTTATATAGACGTATATAACAGAGGGGGGCATGACAAAATAAATGGCAGAACAATTATACGAAAAAAATCACAAGCAGTCAAAATTACTGCTTTAGCGGTTCTAGTGTTAAAGAAGGATTTTTAAGCCTTGAGACAATTGAGACATGGGTTGTTTATGTGTGCCATTCAGATGGTGAATGGGTAAGACAAAATATTTAAGTGCCTTTGAACGGGGTATGGTAGTAGGTGCCAGTTGCACCGGTTTGATTGTGTTAAGTCAAATCAAATTGTATTGGCCACATGCGCCGAATACAACAGGTGTAGACATTACAGTTAAATGCTTACTTATAGCCCTTAACCAACAAAGCATTTATTTATTTTTATAAAAATATAAAAATAAAAAACTGTTGAGAAAAAAAGAGCAGAAGTCAAATAAAATAACAGTAGGGAGGCTATATATACAGGGGGTACCGGTGCAGAGTCAATGTGCGGGGGCACCGGCTAGTTGAGGTAGTTGAGGTAATATGTACATGTGGGTAGAGTTAAAGTGACTATGCATAAATAATTAACAGAGTAGCAGCAGTGTAAAAAGATGGGGTGGGGGTGGGGGGGCAGTGCAAATAGTCAGGGTAGCCATGCTTAGCTGTTCAGGAGTCTTATGGCTTGGGGGTAGAAGCTGTTGAGAAGTCTTTTGGACCTAGACTTGGCACTCCGGTACCGCTTGCCGTGCGGTAGCAGAGAGAACAGTCTATGACTAGGGTGGCTGGAGTCTTTGACAATTTTGAGGGCCTTCCTGGCCCCAGTGATGTACTGGGCCGTACGCACTACCCTCTGTAGTGCCTTGCGGTCGGAGGCCAATCAGTTGCCATACCAGGCGGTGATGCAACCAGTCAGGATGCTCTCGAGGGTGCAGCTGTAGAATTTTTTAAAGATCTGAGGACCCATGCCAAATCTTTTCAGTCTCCTGAGGGGGAATAGGCTTTGTCGTACCCTCTTCACGACTGTCTTGGTGTGTTTGGACCATGATAGTTCGTTGGTGATGTGGACACCAGTGCCTTGTCAACCTGTTCCACTACAGCCCTGTCGATGAGAATGGGGGCGTGCTCAGTCCTCTTTTTTTTCCTGTAGTCCACAATCATCTCCTTTGTCTTGGTCATGTTGAGGGAGAGGTTGTTATCATGGCACCACACGGCCAGGTCTCTCACCTCCTCCCAATAGGCTGTCTCATCGTTGTCGGTGATCAGGCCTACCACTGTTGTGTCGTCGGTAAACTTAATGATGGTGTTGGAGTCGTGCCTGGCCATGCAATCATGGGTGAACAGGGAATACAGGAGGGTACTGAGCACGCACCCCTGAGGGGCCCCCGTGTTGAGGATCAGTGTGGCAGATGTGTTGTTACCTACCCTTACCACCTGGGGGCGGCCCGTCAGGAATTCCAGGATCCAGTTGCAGAGGGAGTCGTTTAGTCCCAGGATCCTTAGCTTAGTGATGAGCTTTGAGGGCACTATGGTGTTGAATGCTGAGCTGTAGTCAATGAATAGCATTCTCCCATAGGTGTTCCTCTTGTCCAGGTGGGAAAGGGCAGTGTGGAGTGCAATAGAGTTTGCATCATCTGTGGATCTGTTATGGCGGTATGCAAATTGGAGTGGGTCTAGGGTTTCTGGGATAATGGTGTTGATTTTAGCCATGACCAGCCTTTCAATGCACTTCATGGCTACAAACGTCAGTGCTACGGGTCGGTAGTAATTTAGGCAGGTTATCTTAGTGTCCTTGGGCACGGGGACTATGGTGGTCTGCTTGAAACATGTTGGTATTACAGACTCAGTCAGGGACATGTTGAAAATGTCAGTGAAGACACTTGCCAGTTGATCAGCACATGCTCGGAGTACACGTCCTGGTAATCCGTCTGGCCCTGAGGCCTTGTGAATGTTGACCTGCTTAAAAGTCTTACTCACATTGGCTACGGAGAGCATGATCACATAGTCATCCGGAACAGCTGGTGCTCTCATGCATGCTTCAGTGTTGCTTGCCTCGAAGCGAGCATAGAAGTGGTTTAGCTTGTCTGGAAGTCTTGTGTCACCTGGCAGCTCACGGCTGTGCTTCCCTTTGTAGTCTGTAATAGTTTTCAAGCCCTGCCACATCCGATGAGCGTCAGAGCCAGTGTAGTATGATTCAATCTTAGTCCGGTATTGACTCTTTGCCTGTTTGATGGTTAATCGGAGGGCATAGCAGGATTTCTTATAAGCGTCCGGATTAGAGTCCCGCTCCTTGAAAGCGGCAGCTCTACCCTTTAGGTCAGTGCGGATGTTGCCTGTAATCCATCGCTTCTGGTTGGGATATGTACGTACGGTCACTGTGGGGACGACGTCATCAATGCACTTATTGATGAAGCCAGTGACTGATGTGGTGTACTCCTCAATGCTATCTGAAGAATCACTGAACATGTTCCAGTCTGTGCTAGCAAAACAGTCCTGTAGCTTAGCATCTGCGTCATCTGACCACTTTTTTATTAACCGAGTCACTGGTTTTTCCTGCTTTAGTTTTTGCTTATAAGCAGGAATCAGAAGGTTAGAGTTATGGTCAGATTTGCCAAATGGAGGACGAGTATGTCAACTCTTACGCTGCTGGGTTGTTCACACTCAACAGTTTCCTGTGTGTATCAATAATGGTTCACCACCTAAAAGAAAATCCAGCTAACTTGACACAACTGTGGTAAGCATTGTAGTCAACATGGGCCAGCATCCCTGTGGAACGCTTTTGACACCTTGTAGAGTCCGTGCCCCGACGAATTGAGGCTGTTCTAAGGGCAAAAAGGGGTACAGCTGAATATAAGGAAGGTGTTCCTAATGTTTTGTACACTTTGTATATACAGGTAACTACCTAAATAAATTAAACATCAACATAGTGTCTTTATAGGTGTCACGTTCGTTGAAGGACAGGTCAGACCAAGGCGCAGCGTGAAATGCAAACATGTTTATTTAATCAAAATAAACATACGAACAAAACAACGTAACGTGAAGTCCTCAGGCTAAACACAATACAAGCCTATACACGGAACAAGATCCCACAACTAATGATAGCAAACAGGCTACTAAAGTGTGATCCCCAATCAGAGACAACGAGTGACAGCTGCCTCTGATTGGGAATCACACCCGGCCAAACATAGAAACACAAAACCTAGAAAGTGAACATAGAAATAATAACATAGATCTCCACACCCTGACTCAACATACAAGAGTCCCATAAGTCAGGGCGTGACAATAGGGTGTTGGGCCCCCACGAGCCAGAACAGCTTCAATGCACCTTGACATAGATTCTACAAGTGTCTGGAACTCTATTGGAGGGATGCGACACCATTCTTCCACGAGAAATTCCATAATTTGGTGTTTTGTTGATGGTGGTGGAAAACGCTGTCTCAGGCGCTGCTTCAGAATCTCCCATGCATGTTCAATTGGGTTGAGATCTGGTGAGTGAGACGGTCATGGCACCGGGGTCACATTAGCTTTCAGAAATCTGCATTTTCTGCCTTTTAAATAATTTCATCTGAGTTTCATATTGGAAGTCAGTGTTTTTTGGCTTCAATAGAGTGATAAGAGGCGTGCAACTCTAGTTTTTCTTCACACAAAATACATTAGTGCAACATACACGTAAGTAAAAAGCAAGGTATTTTTTGCAAAAACGATGCATGACCATCATATTTCTAATGTTTATCATAGAAATAATGTCGCCAGCTACATTTCTTAATGTTTTTTGCTTGAAGTTAATCTTGCATTTTAACTTGCTACCAGAGGAAACACTACACTGGAGGAAAGTACCTTAGAAAAGTCGCCTACACATCAGTCAGAGCACTGACTGGTGATCTAATGACGAGCAAATATACTTCATCCGAGTGCAACTGAAGCACGAAATTAGTCATTTTACATTCATGATTTGGAGCGAACCCTGACTGAAGCTGAGCAGAATTTACAATAACAAGCATTTTAGATCTGCATTTTATCTTTCCTTTTCTGCGTGAAAAACGCAAACATGACTCCTGTGGCATATGGTTTATGTCATTTTCATGCTCATCAAACAATTCAATCATTGACCACTGCTGCCCTGTGGATGGGGGCATTGTCATCCTATGGGGGCATAGCTATGGTAGCCAAAATAATGGCCTACCCAGCATTTTTATATATGACCCTAAGCATGATGGGATGTTAATTTCTTAATTAACTCAGGAACAACACGTGTGTGGAAGCACCTGCTTTCAATATATACTGAACAAAAATACAAACGCAACATGTAAAGTGTTGGTCCCATGTTTCATGTGCTGAAATAAAAGATCCTCGAATTTTTCCATATCACAAAAAGCTTATTTCTCTCAAATGTTGTGCACAAATTTGTTTACATCCCTATTATTGAACATTTCTCCTTTGCCAAAATAATCCATCCACCTGACAGGTGTGGCATATCAAGAAGCTGATTAAACAGCGTGATCATTACACAGGTGCACCTTGTGCTGGGGACAATAAAAGGCCACTCTAAAATGTGCAGTTTTGTCACACAAAACAATGCCACATATGTCTCAAGTTTTGAGGGAGTGTGCAATTGGCATGCTGACTGCAGGATGTCCACCAGAGCTGTTGCCAGAGAATGTAATGTTAATTTCTCTACCATAAGCTGCCTCCAACGTCGTTTTAGAGTATTTGGCAGTACGTCCAACCGGCCTCACAACCGCAGACCACGTGTAACCACACCAGCCCAGGGCCTCCACAACCGGCTTCTTCACCTGCGGGATCGTCTGAGACCTGCCACCCGGACAGCTGATGAAACTGAGGAGTATTTCTCTCTGTAATAAAGCTCTTTTGTGGGGAAAAACTAATTCTGATTGGCTGGGCCTGGCTCCCCAGTGGGTGGGCCTGGCTCCCCAGTGGGTGGGCCTATGCCCTCCCAGGCCCACCCTTGGCTGCACCCCTGCCCAGTCATGTGTAATCCATAGATTAGGGCCTAATTTATTTATTTAAATTGACTGATTTCCTTATATGAACTGTAACTCAGTCAAATTTAGTAAATATAAACGCAACATGCAACAATTTCAAGTGTTTCCATTATTTTGGTGGTGACCTGTATTACATGCAGATGACCCAGGCACAGGAACGTACTCAGGTTAGGCTTTTGGCTTGGGTTTAGGATTAAATATCTAGAATTTACCTGTCCCCTTTTGCCATAGGGCATTGTGGCCATTCACTCAAAAACAAATGTAGTTCTATTGAACTAATCAGTGTGAAATACTTTTTGACCAGAAACGGACCAACAGATGGCATCTGTAAGGACAGTGGAACACACCACATCTAGACCTCACTGTGTCTGTGGGCGCCAGCGTGCTTACTGTAGCTATTCCTTTCCTGCTGGTAAAGTTTAAAATGTAGCTGGTCCTAGAGCTGTGCCTAAAGACAACTCCTACCTGGAGCCACAGTATGTGACCTATGACCCCTCTGTCCCCTGTAGGACCTGACGGAGCCCATGCTGGTGATGTATGAGCAGCCAGGCGAGGAGGAGGAGGTGGAGCAGGAGAACACCTTTGAGGTGACCGAGGCCATTCCTGACGTGGAGCTGTTTAACTACCGCACCACCACTCGCGCCATCCAGGTCCTCAGTGGAGCGTAAGTACACATGCTTGTGATGAGCAGCGTTATAGTCTAAGTGGTATAGTCTAGTGTAATATACAAGGGTGAAAGTAGAATTAATTTCTTCCCAGTACGGGACCTCCAATATTTGTTATAGGCCTAATCATAGAATTACAAATATAATCCCTATTAATTCAATAATCTGTGGGCCTAGTCAAAAATATTTGTCATTTAACTTTTAAAATGTATTACCATTTATTGTGGCATAAACACAACCAGTCATGATGTTTTCATCTGATTGTCAAACAATCACTTCAAAGGGCTTCTTTACTAGGATACCCGCGCACGTTCTTCTACTGGCAACATATTACCCGCCTCCAAACAGTGGTGAATGGAAAGAGACTGGTATTACACAAAACACCAAAAAGTGTAATGACATTTGCCGATTGTCATTAGGCCAGAATTTATAAGTCCACTGCTGTCTCTGCACGTCTCAGTGTTTGCTACTCATCTCTGCCTTGGCAAAATGTCAGTGTTCACATCGAACCACATCACACGTAGGCTAAACCACCCGTTTTCAAGTCCATTCGCTAATTTTTCATTAGTCTGACATGCGGTAATGATAAATAATGGTGTAGTAGTCTCCAGTTTTCTTGACATTTTGTTTTCATTTTTGTGATAGGCTCATGTTTTACCGGTACAGCGTACCCCTACTATTTATTTTGCCGGGAAGTTGTACCGGATTGTAACACCTTACTTTCACCCCTGGTTATATAGTAATAGTATAGTAATGACTGATATAATTTTTGTGTGTCAGAGGCCTGATAAGATAATAAGAATATAATCATGACTAGAGCCAATATAGATATGGCTCTGATAATAACTTGATACGGGCTGAAAAGTTAATAAGAATATGATCATATTCGATAATACCTGGATTTATAAAAATCCACCTTTCCAGAAATAAGTCTCTCACTGTTGCCGCTTGCTACAGACCCCTGTCAGCCCTCAGCTGTGCCCTGGACACCATATGTGAATTAATTGCCCCCCATCTATCCTCAGAGTTCGTATTGCTTGGTGACCTAAACTGGGATATGCTTAACACCCCGGCCGTCCTACAATCTAAACTAGATGCCCTCAATCTCACACAAATTATCAAGGAACCTACCAGGTACAACCCTAAATCCGTTAACATGGGCACCCTCATAGATATCATCCTGACTAATTTACCCTCTAAATGCACCTCTGCTGTCTTCAACCAGGATCTCAGCGATCACTGCCTCATTGCCTGTGTCCATAATGGGTCCGCGGTCAAACGACCACCCCTCATCACTGTCAAACGCTCCCTAAAACACTTCAGCGAGCAGGCCTTTCTAATTGACCTGGCTCGGGTATCCTGGATGGATATTGACCTCATTCCGTCAGTAGAGGATGCAGGGTTGTTCTTTTAAAAGTGCTTTCCTCTCCATCTTAAATAAGCATGCCCCAATCAAAAAATTCTGAACTAAGTACAGATATAGCCCCTGGTTCACCCCAGACTTGACTGCCCTTGACCAGCACAAAAACATCCTGTGGCGTACATCCAAGCATTTTGCTATGGCTGACCATGCTTTCCACCTAGCTACACCTACCCCGGCCACTAGCTCTGCACCCTCCGCTGCAACTTGCCCTTGCCCCCCCCTGCTTCTCATTCACCCAAATTCAGATAGCTGATGTTCTGAAAGAGCTGCAAAATCTGGACCCCTACAAATCAGCTGGGCTAAACAATCTGTACCCTTTCTTTCTAAAATTAGCTGCTGAAATTGTCGCAACACCTATTACCAGCCTGTTCAACCTCTCTTTCGTATCGTCTGAGATCCCCAGAGATTGGAAAGCGCCCGTGGTCATCCCCCTCTTCAAAGGGGGTGACACTCTAGATCCAAACTGTTACAGACCGATATCCATCCTGCCCTGCCTTTCGAAAGTATTTCAAAGCCAAGTTAACAAACAGATCACCGACCATTTCGAATCCCACCGTACCTTCTCCGCTATGCAATCTGGTTTCCGAGCTGGTCATGGGTGCAACTCAGCCACGCTCAAGGTCCTAAACGATATTATAACCACGATCGATAAAAGACAGTACTGTGCAGCCGTCTTCATCGACCTGGCCAAGGCTTTCGACTGCGTCAATCACTGCATTCTTATTGGCAGACTAAATAGCCTTGGTTTCTCAAATGACTGCCTCGCCTGGTTTAACAACTACTTCTCAGATAGAGTTCAATGTGTCAAATCGGATGGCCTGTTGTCTGGACCTCTGGCAGTCTCTATGGGGGTGCCACAGGGTTCAATTCTCGGGCCGACTCTATTCTCTGTGTATATCAATGATGTCGCTCTTGCTGCTGGTGACTCTCAGATCCACCTCTACGCAGACGACACCATTTTGTATACATCTGGCCCTTCATTGGACACCGTGTTAACAAACCTCCAAACAAGCTTCAATGCCATACAGCACTCCTTCTGTAGCCTCCAACTGCTCTTAAACGCTAGTAAAACTAAATGCATGCTCTTCAATCGAATGCTGCTTGCACCCGCACGCCCGACTAGAATCACTACTGTCGGTGGGTCTGACTTAGAATATGTGGACAACTACAAATACCTAGGTGTCTGGTTAGACCGTAAACTCTCCTTCCAGACTCACATTAAGCATCACCAAAGTTAAATCTAGAATCGGCTTCCTATTTCGCAACAAAGCCTCCATCACTCATGCTGCCAAACATGCCCTCGTAAAACTGACTATCCTACCGATCCTTGACTTCGGCAATGTCATTTACAAAATAGCTTCCAACACTCTACTCAGCATATTGGATGTAGTCTATCACAGCGCCATCCGTTTTGTCACCAAAGCCCCATATACTACCCACCATTGTGACCTGTACGCTATCGTTGGCTGGCCCTCACTACATATTCGTCGCCAAACCCACTGGCTCCAGGTCATCTATAAATCACTGCTAGGCAAATCCCTGCCTTATCTTAGCTCATTGGTCACCATAGCAACACCCACCTGTAGTATGCGCTTCAGCAGGTATATCTCACTGGTCATCCCCAAAGCCAACACCTCCTTTGGCCGCCATTCCTTCCAGTTCTCTGCTGCCAATGACTGGAACGAACTGCAAAAATCTCTGAAGCTGGAGACTCTTATCTCCCTCACTAACTTTAAGCATCAGTTGTCAGAGCAGCTTACCGATCACTGCACCTGTACACAGCCCATCTGTAATTAGCCCACCCAACTACCTCATCCCCATATTGTTCTTTATTTTGCTCATTTGCACCCCAGTATCTCTATTTGCACATCATCTTCTGCACATCTATCATTCCAGTGTTAATACTAAATTATAATTATTTTGCACTATGGCCTATTTATTGCCTTACCTCCATAACTTACTACATTTGCACACACTGTATATAGGTTTTCTATTGTGTTATTGACTGTACTTTTTGTTTATCCCATATGTAACTCTGTGTTATTTTTATCGGACTGCTTTGCTTTATCTTGGCCAGGTCGCAGTTGTAAATGAGAACTTGTTCTCAACTGGCTTACCTGGTTAAATAAAGGTGAAATAAAATAAAATAAAAACAGTGAATGAAGGATGTTAGAGTATTAGTGGAGGTTTGACTCAAAGTGACCACTGTTCTCTCCTCCTCCAGATGGATAGCCTACTCTCATGTGGACTTCTCTGGTGACCAGTATATCCTGGAGAAAGGTTTCTACAGTAAATCTACTGATTGGGGCTCTTCAGACAACCGCATCTGCTCTGTCCAGCCCATCCTACAGGTGAGTAGGAGCCTAGAGACTATTTTCTATTGAGTTGACAGTGGAGAGACGGAAACAGACAGGAAAATGAACTGAAAGGAGAATATCCAAACTGTTTCGATGCTCCTTTAATGTTAATATTGCAATATTTTGATCGCTGTGGGTGCTTCTTTGTCAGCCTGAGGAATAATGAAAAGGATGTTTGACATTGTGATGTTTACTCAGTTCTCTTGTGTCTGTTTCAGGCTCCAAGTGAAAACCAGGGCAACGTCAGAAGTGAGGTGAGACATCTTGTATAATCGTATATCCTTCTGCAGTCTCTTTTCACAATTCACTTGAGCTATGTCTACAGTAAATGTGACCGATTTTTTTATTTTTTTACTCTCTTTCTTCCTTCGCTCTCCCTGTCCGCTTCAGGTGATTCTGTACACAGAGCCAGATTTCCAGGGTGAATGCCATCTGTGTGACAAGAACCAGGAGTCCCTCTCTGACAAGCTCATCGCCAAGTCCTGCAGAGTGGTGGGAGGAAGGTGGGACAGAACCAACACACTCAGAGCTAACATTCTGGCAGTAGCCAAAGAGAGGAAAGAATGAAGGAGAATTTGGGATGTTACACAGGCTTAGTGCACTCTTAGAATAAAAGGTACTATCGAGAACATAGGAGAACCCTTTGAAGAACCCCTTTTGGTTCCAGGTAGAATCCTTTCCACAGAGAGTTCTATATTGAACCCAAAATAGTTCTACCTGGAAACAAAAATAGTATTCCTATGGGGACAGCCGCAGAACCCTTTTTGAACCCTTTTTTCTAAGAGTGTGTAGATGTTGATACATTTGTGTTTCTCAACTCCGGTCCTTGAGTACCCCCAACAGTTCACATTTTTGTTGTTGTTGCCCTGGGAAAACACACCTCATTCATCTTGTCAAGGGCTTGATGATTAGTTGACAAGTAAAATTGCATGTGCTTGTTCGCTGCCACAACAAAAATGTGTACTGTTATGGGTACTCGAAAACAAGAGTTGAGAAACACTGGGATGGAGGACTTCGAGATGAGAGATGAGCCATCCCAGAATTATTACTCTACCAAGCTTATCGCTTTTGGGACAGAACCAACACACATACATACATGCATGCAGACACACACACACACTCATATATATATATATATATATATATATATATATATATATATATATATATATATATATATATATATATATACGCACACACGCACACACAAAGTGTGAGAGAGGGAAAATGTAGAATTAGGAGAGATAGAAGGATACACAGGCTTAGTGGAGATGTAGAGGATGGTATGGAGTGATGGAGAAGGACCTAGAGATGAGCCGGCACATAAATATTACAACTGTACTGATGAGCATGTGGAGTTAGTACATTTGTTTTAAATGGATTTTGTGTGTTCCTCTGTGTTTCAGTTGGGTGGTGTACGAGGGCCGTGAGTATTCAGGGAACATGTACATCCTGTCAGAAGGAGACTACCCCAACTTCACCAGCATGGGCTGTCCTCCGAACTGTGTCATACGCTCGCTGAAGACTATCCCACTGGTAAGAACAATCCTCATATACTAGTCCCACTCGTTTATAGACTGGCTTTTTCACCTCCCTCTCACCAGTACATTTCACTTTGTGTGTCTGTCTCACTCTCTAGCTTTCTCAATTTTTTATTTGCAATCACTTAATGAATCAATTTGTTGTTCATCATAATATTAAAGGTATATTTGACTTAATGCCCCCAGCCCTCTCTCTCCATCATACCATTACTCCTCTACCCTGACCCACTGTAACACTGCTCCAGCCTATTCAACCTAATGTGTGTGGATATCAGAGGGGTTGGAAAAAAAGCAGAAGACAAATTTCCATCCCATGTGGACTAAAAAAGTATATCTTAATGTTAACACTGTATATCTTAACCCCCCTGTTTCCACAGGGATTCTCAGTGCCCTCCATCTCTCTGTTTGGTCTGGAGTGTTTGGAGGGCAGGGAGATCACAGTGGACACAGAGGTGGTCAATATGCTGGAGGAGGGCTACAACAACCATCTACTCTCTGTCAGAGTCAACCGAGGCTGGTGAGTGTGGATGTGTGTGTGTGCATGCTTGTTTGTGTTATTCAGAGTGTTTACATTATGTGATCTTGTGTAACTCTCTCACCCTATGCCTCACTTGCGCTCTTTGCAGCTGGGTGCTGTGTGAGCACAGTAACTACAGGGGGCGCCAGCTCCTGTTAGAACCCATCGAAATCACCAACTGGCCCAAGTTCAGTCAGCTTCTCACCATTGGCTCAATGTACCCAGTACGACAGGTTAGTATCTCACTCGACTTCTTACTTCATTCCAGTTATAATGCACCGTAAGAAAAAAAAAGTTTGCTTAGAATAGTGATCCTGACTATTGTGAGTCAGTTTAAAATTTGCTACATAGAGACCTAATTTATTATAAGCGTTATAATAAGACATCATAAAAGCTTATACAAAGTTATGAAGCCCTTACGCTACTTCTATTTGCTTTGACATGTGACTGTTTCCATTTCCTGCAGAGGCGGTGCTTCTTCCGCATCAAGAGCAAGGAGCGAGGTCACTTCCTGTCCATCCAGGGCGGTGTAGAGGAAATTAAGTCGGGACGCGTGGTGGTGACCGAGCAGGTGGAAGGCATGAGCGACATCTGGTTCTACCAGGAGGGCCTCATCAAGAACAAGGTATTACTCACTAGGAATAAAGTTCCTAAACTTTTATTATTTCAATTTTCTTTATTCTTATGATCATTTTCTTTCACCTTACTGAGGAACCCCTGGGACTCCCTCGTGGAACCCCATGGGTTCCCAGATTCCAGTTCTCAAGAGCTGCAGTCCTGCTGTTTTAAAAATATATATATTTGAGTTGATACCTTCCTGGCACTTGATTGATACATTTATCAATTATATCAATCACAATTATTGATTGATTGATTGATCGATTGGCCATAGAGTGCACACACCTGTTTGTCCGGGTAGACATTAGTCTCTGATTAAAAGGCAAAGATGGACACTAGCATACACTGTAGCCCTTGAGGACCAGAGTTTCCCACCCCAGGTCTTAGATTCACATATAAACTCAGCAAAAAAAGAAACGTCCTCTCACTGTCAACACCGTTTATTTTCAGCAAACTTAACATGTGTAAATATTTGTATGAACATAACAAGATTCAACAACTGAGACATAAACTAAACAAGTTCCACAGACATGTGACTAACAGAAATGGAATAATGTGTCCCTGTACAAAGCGGGGGTCAAAATCAAAAGTAACAGTCAGTATCTAGTGTGGCCACCAGCTGCATTAAGTACTGCAGTGCATCTCCTCCTCATGGACTGCACCAGATTTGCCAGTTCTTGCTGTGAGATGTTACCCCACTCTTCCACCAAGGCACCTGCAAGTTCCCGGACATTTCTGGGGGGAATGGCCCTAGCCCTCACCCTCCGATCCAACAGGTCCCAGACGTGCTCAATGGGATTGCGATCCGGGCTCTTCGCTGGCCATAGCAGAACACTGACATTCCTATCTCTGTAGCTCAGCTGGTAGAGCACGGCGCTTGTAACGCCAAGGTAGTGGGTTCGATCCCCGGGACCACCCTACCCCGGGACCACCCATACACAAAAATGTATGCACACATTACTGTAAGTCGCTTTGGATAAAAGCGTCTGCTAAATGGCATATTATTATTATTATTATTATATCTTGAAGGAAATCATGCACAGAACGAGCGGTATGGCTGGTGGCATTGTGATGCTGGAGGGCCATGTCAGGATGAGCCTGCAGGAAGGATACCACATGAGGGAGGAGGATGTCTTCCCTGTAATGCACAGCGTTGAGATTGCCTGCAATGACAACAAGCTCAGTCCGATGATGCTGTGACACACCGCCCCAGACCATGACGGACCCTCCACCTCCAAATCAATCCCGCTCCAGAGTACAGGCCTCGGTGTAACGCTCATTTCTTTGACGATAAACGCGAATCCGACCATCACCCCTGGTGAGACAAAACCGTGACTCGTCAGTGAAGAGCACTTTTTGCCAGTCCTGTCTGGTCCAGCGACGGTGGGTTTGTGCCCATAGGCGATGTTGTTGCCGGTGATGTCTGGTGAGGACCTGCCTTACAACAGGCCTACAAGCCCTCAGTCCAGCCTCTCTCAGCCTATTGCGGACAGTCTGAGCACTGATGGAGGGATTGTGCGTTCCTGGTGTAACTCGGGCAGTTGTTGTTGCCATCCTGTACCTGTCCCGCAGGTGTGATGTTCGGATGTACCGATCCTGTGCAGGTGTTGTTACACGTGGTCTGCCACTGCGAGGACAATCAGCTGTCTGTCCTGTCTCCCTGTAGCGCTGTCTTAGGCATCTCACAGTGCGGGCATTGCAATTTATTGCCCTGGCCACATCTGCAGTCCTCATGCCTCCTTGCAGCATGCCTAAGGCACGTTCACGCAGTTGAGCAGGGACCCTGGGCATCTTTCTTTTGGTGTTTTTCAGAGTCAGTAGAAAGGCCTCTTTAGTGTCCTAAGTTTTCATAACTGTGACCATAATTGCCTACCATCTGTAAGCTGTTATTGTCTTAACGACCGTTCCACAGGTGCATGTTCATTAATTGTTTATGGTTCATTGAACAAGCATGGGAAACAGTGTTTAAACCCTTTACAATGAAGATCTGAAGTTATTTGGATTTCTATTAATTATCTTTGAAAGACAGGGTCCTGAAAAAGGGACGTTTCTTTTTTTGCTGAGTTTACATTGTTCAACAGTCAATCTGCTAGTCCTATAGTAATCAAAATAAATATGGAAGTTTATTGTATATTTCTACTGAAAACAAATAGAGTTGACCAGAGTTCTACATTTTTTATGTCTCTCTTTCTCTGTCTCTAGTTGGCTCCTGCTATGAGCCTGCAGGTGATGGGGAACGTGGAGGCGGGGGCGAAGGTGGTGCTGTGGTCAGAGACCCGGCAGCCTGTCCAGACCTGGTCAGCCCAGATGAGAGGCACCATCCCCAGCCTCACCTTCCCTGGCATGGTGTTGGACATCAAGGGTGAGACACTACTGTCATCTTAGGAGTGAAATTATAGTAACTACACACATATGAATTGTACTTTCATGCAATACTATGCACACTCAGCACCTATTGGGTAAATGTTTGGGGTAATATACACCCCCCCCCCCCCCCCCCCCCCCCCCCCCCCCAATGTTCCCTCTAATGTTTGGGGGGACTAAGGACACTAGGTCTTGTGAGCGGAAACTTGAACCTTGTGAGAATTTTGTGCAACTTCCAGCGCCCATTTACAGTGAACACTGAGGCTGTACCGTTACAGTTTTAGACAGTAGGCAATAGGCTATCGTGGCTATTTGAGCATAATGTATCCCATTATATTTTCACAAGGAAATTATACAGTAGCCTATATGTGGTGTTCAATGCAGGCCTACATTGCATGATACTTTTAATAACGTTTTTACATTATGAAGGGCTTGACATTAATTTATACTTTTTTACTTGGGTCTGTAACACCATGTGCCAAAAAGGTGACTGTAAATTGCATTGTATTGTGTTGTATGATTCAAGAAACCACTTTACAAAATAAAATTATTATTATTAACATACAGAGAATTAGACTACCCCTTCTGCCTATTGGCTTATTTGCACATTCAAGCCTGTCTCAAAATACAACACTGCCCCTTTAATTAAGTTTTTACCTGACTGGCTTTTTTAAAGACTGGCATGTTGTGCTCTTGTAGGAAGCAGTAACTCCCCATTGCTGACCTATAATTATCTATACTGAACAAAATTAGTCATTTTATTTGGAGCGAACCCTGACTGAAGCTGAGCAGAATTTACAATAAGAAGCGTTTTAGATCTGTGTTTACAAAACTCAGCAAAATATTTTTTCTGCCTTTTATCTTTCCTTTTCTTGAGTGAAAAACTCAAACGCGACTCCTGTGGCATATGGTTTACATCGTTTTCATGCTCATCAAACCATTCAACAATTGACCACTTCTGCCCTGTGGATGGGGGCATTGTCATCCAATGGGGGCATAGCTATGGTAGCCAAAATAATGGCCTACCCAGCATTTTTATACATGACCCTAAACATGAGGGGATGTTAATTTCTTAACTCAGGAACAACACCTTTGTGGAAGCACCTGCTTTCAATAGAGTACATTCGGAAAGTATTCAGACCCCTTGACTTTTTCCACATTTTGTTACGTTACAGCCTTATTCTAAAATGGATTCAATAAATACAAATTCTTATCAATCGACACACAAACAGGATTTTAGAAATGTTTGCGAATTTATAAAATAAAATAAAACTGAAATACCTTATTTACATAATTATTCAGACCCTTTGCTATGAGACTCGAAATTGAGCTCAGGTGCATCCTGTTTACATTGATCATCCTTGGGATGTTTCGACAATTTGATTGGAGTCCACCTGTGGTAAATTCAATTGATTGGACATGATTTGGAAAGGCACACACCTGTCTATATAAGGTCCCACAGTTGGACAGTGCATGTCAGAGCAAAAACCAAGCCAAAGGAATTGTCCGTAGAGCTCCGAGACAGGATTGTGTCGAGGCACAGATCTGGGGAAGGGTACCAAAAAATTTCTGCAGCATTGAAGGTCCCCAAGAACACAGTGGCTTCCATCATTCATAAATGGAAGAAGTTTGGAACCACCAAGACTCTTCCTAGAGCTGGCCACCCGGCCAAACTGAGCAATCGGGGGAGAAGGTCCTTGGTCAGGGAGGTGACCAAGAACCCGATGGTCACTCTGACAGAGCTCTAGAGTTCCTCTGTGGAGATGGGAGAACCTTCCAGAAGGACAACCATCTCTGCAGCACTCCACCATTCAGGCCTTTATGGTAGAGTGGCCAGACGGAAGCCACTCCTCAGTAAAAGGCACACGACAACCCTGCTTGGAGTTGGCCAAAAGGCACCTAAAGGACTCTCAGACCATGAGAAACAAGATTCTCTGGTTTGATGAAACCAAGATTGAACTCTTTGGCCTGAATGCCAAGCGTCACATCTGGAGGACACCTGGCACCATCCCTACGGTGAAGCATGATGGTGGCAGCATCATGCTGTGGGGATGTCTTTCAGCGGCAGGGACTGGGAGACTAGTCAGGATCGAGGGAAAGATGAACGGAGCAAAGTACAGAGAGATCCTTGATGAAAACCTGCTCCAGAGCGTTCAGGACCTCAGACTGAGGCGAAGGTTCACCTTCCAACAGGACAGCAACCCTAAGCACACAGCCAAGACAACGCAGGAGTGGCTTTGGGACAAGTCTCTGAATGTCCTTGAGTGGCCCAGCCAGAGCCCAGACTTGAACCCGATCGAACATCTCAGGAGAGTCCTGAAAATAGCTGTGCAGCGACGCTAACCATCCAACCTGACAGAGCTTGAAAGGATCTGCAGAAAAGAATGGGAGAAGCTCCCCAAAAACAGGTATGCCAAGCTTATGGCTTCATACCCAAGAATTCTCAAGGCTATAATTTACATACTTATGTAAATATGATATTTCAGTTTTTAATTTTTTATACATTAACAAAAATGTCTAAAAACGTGTTTTTGCTTTGTCATTTATGGGGTATTGTGTGTAGATTGATGAGGAAACAAAAATTATTTAATCAATTTTAGAAAAAGGCTGTAATGTAACGAAATGTGGAAAAAGTCAAGGGGTCTGAATACTTTCCGATGTAATGTGTTGGTCCCATGTTTCATTAGCTGAAATAAAAGATCCCAGAATTGTTTTCATATCACAAAAAGCTTATTTCTCTTTTTGTTCAGTGGGCTAATAACTCGCTAACTAGCATAGAATATCAAGAAATGTGCACACGCACTAATCTGAAAAGCACATTCACTCGCGGGTGATTGAAAGACCGCTCGTGGGCTACCCCCACCAATAGAATTCTACTCCGTTGCGCTCTGGCTCTGCCTACAACAAAATCACGGACTCAATCTTGCAAAGTTAGATTTGTTTTTGTTTGTTGCTTTGAAAAAGGGCTGATATACTAATTGGGTGAACTCAGTGTTCAGTCTCTTGTGTCTCTGCATGGTCTTTCTTCTCCGCTGCAGTCCTGGAGGAGGTGCACGGCAGCTTAGAGGGAACATTGCTGCCCCCCCCCACTTATTTATTTGGACAGGGGATTGATCAGGGATGTGATGGGCACAACATATATAGGAAATAAAGGCTACTGATAAGATATAGATGTAATAAGTAGGCATTGTTGATATAAAATAATCACATCACTTATTGATAAGCATGCTATAAATTAATGATATAATTGTATCTCTCAGGTGGCAAGCAGTACGACAGAGACCATGTGGTGATTTTACCAGAGAGTGAGGAGAGGCCTTGCCAACAGTGGGAGCTGGAGCTGCTATAACCTTCCAATAACCTTCCCACACCCTTCACCCGCTCCTCCAATACAATACGTTGCAATATCCCCAACCCCTCAGAACTCCTGCTTGGCCTTTAGGAAGCACCACAGACTTAACCTTGTGTCATCATCAGGCACTGTCAATATGATCTGAGAACATCTTCATTGCAGTTAAAGGGTTTTTATTTAATTCAGTGAAATTCCATTATCATTTTTTGCCTTGATGTGAGGACCGCAGCATACGAACGACTGAACAATAAACAACCAGTGCCTTTTGAATCAACTGGAGAGGATGTGAAGGGTAATGATCCCCGCCCCCCTCCTTAAATATGTATATTTGGATTATTCTATTTACAGACATTCTACTCTCTCAGATTCTTCCTTGACTTGGATGGTATGACCCGGCTTACCCACACACAGTAGTGGACTGAACCATTCACTTGAACTCACCAATGATTACTTCTACTATATGGTACATTATCTGTGGCTACAAGCAGTATATTTAAGATGGATTCATAAAGGAAGCCAAATATATGCACATTATTTTCTGAATTGACTTAGTCAAACAAAATACCAAAAAAAACGATTTCATGTACTACGTTTTGGGAAAACATTGGATGAGAAGTGTATTCTTTATGCAGTATAATACATACACAATACATATAACAATGTATGATGACATGCAATGACCCTGTGGGCTTTTATGGAATTACTCTCGAATGCTAGTCTATGTTCTTTAAGGTGGTGTTTCTATTTCACTATGGTATTACTACTGTAGTTGCATAGATATTAATCATACATTGCCAATCACTGTCAACATACAGGTTACTTTATTTGTTTTATAACACCAAATGCCTTGCTTCTCTGTGCACTCTTTGATACCAAAAATATGTGAATGGTTTTAAAATATCAAATATAAATATTAAATAAAACGTATCAATTGTTAAAATGTGTTAATCTAAAATGTCTTCTTTCATAGATCTTTAATTATAGATAAGTTACAGTATACTGTCATGTATTCCTTGGAGACAGAACATCTGGGTCATCCTGTGCTTTCACATGTTATTATAATGCAGATAGGTCAGAGGTGAGCAGTGGTACTGTCTGTCTGACTATCATCTAGATTGGCTATCAGTATTCACACAGACATAATCTAGAAACACTGAGGAAGCTGTTCTGAATACCATGGTGATGTGCGTACAAGATACAGGACTGTAAAGAGTGAGACAAGACAACTGATAGTATAGTATGTGGCCTACTCAGTACAGAACATACTACAGTGCCTTGCAAAACTATTCATCCCCCTTGGCGTTTTTCCTATTTTGTTGCATTACAACCTATAATTTAAATCGATTTTTATTTGGATTTCATGTAATGGACATAAACAAAATAGTCCAAATTGCTGAAGTGAAATGAAAAAAATAACTTATTTCAAAAAATTCAAAAAAATAAATAACGGAAAAGTGGTGCGTGCATATGTATTCACCCCCTTTGCTATGAAGCCCCTAAAAAGATCTGATGCAACCAATTACATAATTAGTTAGATTGCACACAGGTGAACTTTATTTAAGTGTCACATGATCTGTCACATGATCTCAGTATATATACACCTGTTCTGAAAGGCCCCAGAGTCTGCAACACCACTAAGCAAGGGGCACCCCCAAGCAAGCGGCCCCATGAAGACCAAGGAGCTCTCCAAACAGGTCAGGGACAAAGTTGTGGAGAAGTACAGATCAGGGTTGGGTTATAAAAAAATATCAGAAACTGAACATCCCACGGAGCACCACTAAATCCATTATTAAAAAATTGAAAGAATATGGCACCACAACAAACCTGCCAAGAGAGGGCCGCCCACCAAATCTCATGGACCAGGCAAAGAGGGCATTAATCAGAGAGGCAACAAAGAGACCAAAGATAACCATGAAGGAGCTGCAAAGCTCCACAGTAGCGATTGGAGTATCTGTCCATAGGACCACATTAAGCCGTACACTCCACAGAGCTGGGCTTTACGGAAGAGTGGCCAGAAAAAAGCCATTACTTAAAGAAAGAAATAAGCAAACACGTTTGGTGTTTGCCAAAAGGCAGGTGGGAGAATCCCCAAACATATGGAAGAAGGTACTCTGGTCAGATGAGACTAAAATTGAGCTTTTTGGCCATCAAGGAAAACGCTATGTCTGGCGCAAACCCAACACCTCTCATCACCCCGAGAACACCATCATGCTGTGGGGATGTTTTTCATCGGCAGGGACTGGGTAACTGGTCAGAATTGAAGGAATGATGGATGGCGCTAAGTACAGGGAAATTCTTGAGGGAAACCTGTTTCAGTCTTCCAGAGATTTGAGACTGGGACGGAGGTTCACCTTCCAGTAGGACAATGACCCTAAGCATACTGCTAAAGCAACACTCGAGTGGTTTAAGGGGAAACATTTAAATGTCTTGGAATGGCCTAGTCAAAGCCCAGACCTCAATCCAATTGAGAATCTGTGGTATGACTTAAAGATTGCTGTACACCAGCGGAACCCATCCAACTTGAAGGAGCTGGAGCAGTGGAACCATGTCGTCCAAAAAGTTGTACTTTTGAATCATCTGTCCATAGAACGTTCTTCCAAGAGTCTTGATGATCATCCAGGTGCTTTTTGGCAAACTTGAATCAACTTTTTGGACGAGATGGATCGAGATGGGTCCCATTGTGCCTGGCGAAAACCAAACACTGCATTCCACAGTAAGAACATCATACCAAAGGTCAAGCATGGTGGTGGTGGTGTGATGGTTTGGGGATGCTTTGGTGGTGGTGGTATGATGGTTTGGGGATGCTTTGCTGCCTCAGGACCTGGACGACTTGTCTCAATAGAAGGAACCATGAATTCTGCTCTGTATCAGAGAATTCTACAGGAGAATGTCAAACCATCCGTCTGTGAGCTGAAGCTGAAGCGCAGCTGGGTCATGCAGCAAGACAATGATCCAAAACACACAATCAAGTCTACATGAAAATTGCTAATGGCCTAGTCAAAGTCCAGACATAATCCCAATTGAGATGTTGTGGCAGGACTTGAAACGAGCAGATCATGCTTGAAAACCCACACGTCACTGAGTTAAAGCAGTTCCTCCACAGCGACGTGTGAGACTGATCAACAACTACAGGAAGCATTTGGTTGGAGTCATTGCAGCTAAAGGTGGCACAACCAGTTATTGAGTGTAAGGGGGCAATTACTTTTTCACACAGGGGAATTGGGTGTTGCATAACATTGTTTATGAAATAAATATGTAATTGTTGTGTTATTTGTTCACTTATGTTCCCTTTATCTAATATTAGGTTATGGTTGAAGATCTGATAACATTCAGTATCACAAATATGCAAAAGTAGAGAAAATTTGAAAGGGGGCAAATACTTTTTCATTGCACTGTATATGTAAATATTGCCAAAACAAAATAGTTTTAGGACTGAGTCAAGTGGAAATACATAGAGAAGTAGAATGTTTTATCTCTCTCTCTCTCTCTCTCTCTCTCTCTCTCTCTCTCTCTCTCTCTCTCTCTCTGTGTAATGTTAAACTGGAGGAACAAGATCAGAGCTGTTGAATGGATATCTGATCTTAGGGGTTTTCACAGTCTGGGGTGTTGAATGGCTCCTTTGTTGGACTCCCTCCATTCTTAACGTTAAGGTTTCAGTCCCTCTTGTTTCAGTCAAAACGGGTCATTTCGTTTCTGTGGTAAGGTTGAGGAAACCTTCCTTGCCCTGCACAAAAACTCACCCGTTTAACGTTTGCAAGAAGGAACTTACACCGGATACTTGGATAACAGATTTGATTGAATAGACCAGGGTTTCCCAAACTCGGTGTATGTTTTGGTTTTAGCCCTAGCACTACACAGCTGATTCAAAGAGTCAACTAATCATCAAGCTTTGATCATTTGAATCAGCTGTGTAGTGTTAGGCCAAAAACCAAAACGTGCACCTCTTTGGGTACCGAGGATCGAGTTTGGGAAACACTGGAATAGACCAGATAGTCCAGATGCCTCCTTAGCTAGGAATGTTAGACATTTCCTAGTTATCTACGCGAGTTGCCGTAGTTATCTGATGGACCAATGGCAATGACCTAAGCATGGGTCCTGAGCTCTCATAGGTTCAAAAATAAGATTTTCACAAGAGGAATCTGAGTGAAAGAGAGTGAGGCGGGTGCAGTAAGGGCAGTTTAGTTGTTGTAAGGGCAGTTTAGCTACTTGCTCACCTTTCGTTCTGACCACAGGTTTTCTTTGTCACAGGTAGGAACTATTACTATCATTATTTGTCTGACAGCTCTTTTGAGAAAGGATTGTAGCTTATAGTGTGTATATTAGTGTCCATATTATCATATTACTGATTGTGAGTGACTTTAGAGTGGTTTCTGTCTTTTGGGCAGGCAACCTTTATGAATTTCAGAATGTTATGTTGTGGGCTAAGTTCAAGTTCAAGTTATATTGTCACATACACAAGTACAGTGAAATGCTTAACTTGCAAGCTCTACCCAACAGTGCAGTAATCAATATCAAAATAGTATAACTTATAAATAATACATATAAAGAAAACCCAAGAAATAGGACATTGGTTACACATAGTTAACGCATTTATAGCGCCTTCTACACTATAAGGCATTTTTTGACTTAATAAACCTTAATTACAGGTTTTGATTCTGTAAAACACCCTTCTGTAAAGGCTATCAATGCATTTAAATGCATTTAACAAAATCTTGTTACTTATGATACAGTGGGGGAAAAAAAGTATTTAGTCAGCCACCAACTGTGCAAGTGTTCCCACTTAAAAAGATGAGAGAGGCCTGTAATTTTCGTCATAGGTACACGTCAACTATGACAGACAAAATGAGGGAAAAAAATCCAGGAAATCACATTATAGGATTTTTTATGAATTTATTTGCAAATTATGGTGGAAAATAAGTATTTGGTCAATAACAAACGTTTCTCAATACTTTGTTATATACCCTTTGTTGGCAATGACACAGGTCAAACGTTTTCTGTAAGTCTTCACAAGGTTTTCACACACTGTTGCTGGTATTTTGGCCCATTCCTCCATGCAGATCTAATCTAGAGCAGTGATGTTTTGGGGCTGTCGCTGGGCAACACGGACTTTCAACTCCCTCCAAAGATGTTCTATGGGGTTGAGATCTGGAGACTGGCTAGGCCACTCCAGGACCTTGAAATGCTTCTTACGAAGCCACTCCTTCGTTGCCCGGGCAGTGTGTTTGGGATCATTGTCATGCTGAAAGACCCAGCCACGTTTCATCTTCAATGCCCTTGCTGATGGAAGGAGGTTTTCACTCAAAATCTCACGATACATGGCCCCATTCATTCTTTCCTTTACACGGATCAGTCGTCCTGGTCCCTTTGCAGAAAAACAGCCCCAAAGCATGATGTTTCCACCCCCATGCATCACAGTAGGTATGGTGTTCTTTGGATGCAACTCAGCATTCTTTGTCCTCCAAACATGACGAGTTGAGTTTTTACCAAAAAGTTCTATTTTGGTTTCATCTGACCATATGACATTCTCCCAATCCTCTTCTGGATCATCCAAATGCACTCTAGCAAACTTCAGACGGGCCTGGACATGTACTGGCTTAAGCAGGGGGACACGTCTCGCACAGCAGGATTTGAGTCCCTGGTGGCGTAGTGTGTTACTGATGGTAGGCTTTGTTACTTTGGTCCCAGCTCTCTGCAGGTCATTCACTAGGTCCCCCCGTGTGGTTCTGGGATTTTTGCTCACCATTCTTGTGATCATTTTGACCCCACGGGGTGAGATCTTGCGTGGAGCCCCAGATCGAGGGAGATTATCAGTGTCTTGTATGTCTTCCTTTTCCTAATAATTGCTCCCACAGTTGATTTCTTCAAACCAAGCTGCTTACCTATTGCAGATTCAGTCTTCCCAGCCTGGTGCAGGTCTACAATTTTGTTTCTGGTGTCCTTTGACAGCTCTTTGGTCTTGGCCATAGTGGAGTTTGGAGTGTGACTGTTTGAGGTTGTGGACAGGTGTCTTTTATACTGATAACAAGTTCAAACAGGTGCCATTAATACAGGTAACGAGTGGAGGACAGAGGAGCCTCTTAAAGAAGAAGTTACAGGTCTGTGAGAGCCAGAAATCTTGCTTGTTTGTAGGTGACCAAATACTTATTTTCCACCATAATTTGCAAATAAATTCATTAAAAATCCTACAATGTGATTTTCTGGATATTTTTTTCTCAATTTGTCTGTCATAGTTGACGTGTATCTATGATGAAAATTACAGGCCTCCCTCATCTTTTTAAGTGGGAGAACTTGCACAATTGGTGGCTGACTAAATACATTTTTTCCCCACTGTAGGTCATGACTGCTTTTGTGATAAAATCTGAGTTTTTAACGACGACACATTCCATCATTCCTCACGTGTATTCATTCATGCATAAAACAATGGTGGAGTTGTATTAAATGGTCTTTCTTGTTTCCTCTTTTGCAGGTGAAATTCAGACATGGACATTGAGTACTTGCCTTCATATGTGAGTGTTAGGAACCTCTGTCCCCTTTGTCTATCAATCTTTCATCTCGTTATCTTAGTTTCGTCAGTGTTTCTTCACCCTACCTGTCCTACCGCCTCTTTTTCCTGCACTATGGATGACAATTGTATGTTTAAAATTCTTAAAATTCTCAGTTGTGAAATGGAAGAGTGTGAAACCTTTAGGATAATGCCTGCCAGGCAAAATGCACATTTGTCAGTTTCACTCCTCTCCCTCACAGTCCTCATCTTGTCACTGTTTTACTGAGCTCTCTCTCCCTCCCATTTCTCACTCCCCCCTCATCTGTCTCCTTGTCCTCCCACTTAACTTTCTTCACTCTCCCCATTTCTTCCCCCTCTTCCTTTTTTCCCCCCTTCCAATGCCTTTTCTCTATCTTTACCCTACCCCTCTCCCTGTCCATTTCCCCTATTGTCGCCCTCCATCCTCTCCTCCATTGGCCTTGCCCTTCGTCTCTTCCTCATTCTTTCACTGGTCCTCTCCTAGAAGATGTCCTGGGGTACCTTGGGTACTATAAGGCCCTTCCCTTACTTCCATGCTAAGAGAGATGCTCTGGACATTCAGGCTGCCCTGGAACAGAAAGGTACAGCCTCAGTCATCAGAACTCATAATGATTCAAGTATATGTGCTTCAATGCTAATTTTGTTCTACCCTTGGGTATTAAAAATTATTTGCATTGTTTTATTTAATACATTCTTAACAAGATATCGTTTCTGGTCTCATTACAGATGCAGTTACTCTGATAAAAATCCTGACCAACCGCAACAATGCTCAAAGACAAATCATCGCTCAGACCTTCAAAACCATCACAGAGAAGGTAACTAGTAACTACAATACTGGGACCAGGTTACCCACTTCAAATCCTAACCTCAACCATTACAGGTAAAAATTCCAAACTGACCATAGTTCAGTGTCTGGAGTCAACATGCCCACTGACTATGTGTTGTCCCCCTGATCCAGGAGCTGTCCTCTGGGCTGAAGAAGGCCCTGTCTGGGGAGTTGGAGAATTTGCTGTTGGCCTTGGTGATGACCCCACTGCAGTTCGATGCTTACCGTCTGAGACAATCCATGGAGGTGAGGGATGGTGGGAGAGAGGGGGACAGGAGAAAGAGGGAGGAAGGGAGGGGATAGAGAGATACTTTTTATATTTCAAAAATACCTTTATTGGCCCAATAATTTGCATCACTTTAGTACACTCTTTACTACATTGTAACAGTACTAAACAGTTAAAACCAAGCCACCCTTCCTCGTCCACTGCACACAGAACCCCAAACCTCTACAAGGTTCCCCAGATGGTTCATCAGCCCACAGTAAGCATGATCCAGTGTCAGCCGAGCCCGCCCCAGCAGCATAGCTCTGGGGTCCATACACCCCACCCCCTGCATCTCATGCTTCTTGTTCTTCCACACTGCCATTTTTGCCTGCCCGAACAGGTAGTTTACTAGGCAGTCCCTTCGCCTCTTAGCCACGCTAAACCTAGGCCCTCCAACATATACAGTACCAGTCAAAAGTTTGGACACACCTACTCATTCAAGGGTTTTCCTTTCTTTTTATTATTTTCTACATTGTAGAATAATAGTGAAGACATCAAAACTATGAAATAACACATATGGAATCATGTAGCCAAAAAAGGGTTAAACAAATCAAAATATATTTGAGATTCTTCAAATAGACACCCTTTGCCTTGATGACAGCTTTGCACACTTTTGGCATTCTCTCAACCATCTTCACCTGGAATGCTTTTTCAACAGTCTTGAAGGAGTTCCCACATATGCTGAGCACTTGTTGGCTGCTTTTCCTTCACTCTGCGGTCTGACTCATCCCAAACCATCTCAATTTGGTTGAGGTCGGGGGATTGTGGAGGCCAGGTCATCTGATGCAGCACTCCATCACTCTCCTTCTTGGTAAAATAGCCCTTACACAGCCTGGAGGTGTGTTGGGTCATTGTCCTGTTGAAAAACAAATGATAGTCCCACTAAGCCCAAACCAGATAGGATGGCGTATCGCTGCAGAATGCTGTGGTAGCCATGCTGGTTAACTGTGCCTTGAATTCTAAATAAATCACAGTGTCACTAGCAAAGCACTCCCACACCATAACACCTCCTCCTTCATGCTTTACGGTGGGAAATACACATGCGGAGATCATCCGTTCACCCACACCGCGTCTCACAAAGACATGGCGGTTGGAACCAAAAATCTCCAATTTGGACTCCAGACCAAAGGACACATTTCCACCGGTCTAATGTCCATTGCTCGTGTTTCTTGGCCCAAGGAAGTCTCTTCTTATTATTGGTGTCCTTTAGTAGTGGTTTCTTTGCAGCAATTTGATCCTTAAGGCCTAATTCACACAGTCTCCTCTGAACAGTTGATGTTGAGATGTGTCTGTTACTTGAACTCTGTGAAGTGTTTATTTGGGCTGCAATCTGAGGCTGGTAACTCTAATGAACTTATCCTCTGCAGCAGAGGTAACTCTGGGTCTTCCATTCCTGTGGCGGTCCTCATGAGAGCCAGTTTCATCATAGCGCTTGATGGTTTTTGCGACTGCACTTGAAGAAACTTTCAAAGTTCTTGACATTTTCCGTATTGACTGACCTTCATGTCTTAAAGTAATGATGGACTGTCGTTTCTCTTTGCTTATTTGAGCTGTTCTTTTAACAAGGCACACCTGTTAATTGAAATGCATTCCAGTTGACTACCTCATGAAGCTGGTTGAGAGAATGCCAAGAGTGTGCAAAGCTGTCATCAAGGCAAAGGGTGGCCAAAAAAAAATATATATATATAATTGTTTAACACTTTTTTGGTTACTACATGATTCCATATGTGTTGTTTCATAGTTTTGATGTCTTCACTATTATTCTACTATGCAGAAAATAGTAAAAATAAAGAAAAACCCTGGAATGAGTAGGTGTCCAAACTTTTGACTGGTACTGTAGGTCCCATGTCAGCCCCAACCCTAGCCCTGTACACCACCGCCCCCAGGACAGAAAACAGCCCTGTCAGCCTGGAACAAAAGAAAAACAGATGCTGCACTGTCTCCTCCTCCCCACAGAACAAACACCCCCTCCTCACTGGTGGATCAAGGTGCGACACATATCTGTTTGTGGCGATAGCCCGTGAATAATCCTCCACTGTAGATCAGCAGTACACTTCTCTATGGGAGTCTTATACAGGGAGCGCCAACATCCTCTCAGAGAAGGGACCGGTTGCAAACCCCCGGCCACCCCGTTGCTCTCAGCCCATGCAGATTGTCTTTCTGATCCACATTGACAGCCACCATATACAAAGCCTGTTTGCTGGTTGTACAAAAGCCCCCCAGCTCCGGAGTCCTGAACAATAAAATAATCTCCTCACCCTGCTGGTGTTCCCCTGCAGCAGCAGCTGGGAAAAAAGGAGGTAGATGGTAAAAGGAGCTAGATCAGTGTCATTCATGGTTAAACAGCCCAGTCTCTGCCTGTTTCCCAGCAGCTCTCTGAAGGAGCCCGGTAGTGCAGCATGGAACCCCTCCACCACCTGCTGCAGCAGCCTGGATTACTTAATGGAGGAAGCCTCTGTCATGTCACTGGCAGATTTCCACTCAGCCTTCTCTCTCAGATCACCTAACTTAGTGAACCCCGCTCTCACAAGTCTGGCTCGCAAGCTCACAGAAGTCAGCACTCTGGACTGGATGAGTTGGTTGTGGAAGAGTGGCTCCTCCATTATCCATGCTCCTGGCCATGAAACATCTCTGTAAACAGTTAAGAGTCTCGTTCCACGCCCAAAGCACAGTGCGGTAGAACGGAGTAAGGGTTGACATATCGGCCTGCTCCAGATCCAAAAGGAACAAGTGCCTGTCATATCCAAGGCCCCTCCCTTCCTTGGAATAGCCCATGCTGTGTCTCTCCAGCACACCCCCTGCTGGTTCAAAAGTCTCTGCACAGCTTGTAGGTGGAAAGCTGTGACTCTGGACCCAATGTCCACCAGCCCTTGTCCCCCTTATGCATGTCCAGTGTCGACCAGACCAAAAAAAGGTCCACAAGTAACTTTTGCAGATGCTTGACGAGACTCTGTGGGGGGTCCAACACCATCAGCCAGTGCCAGAGCATTGAAGCGGCCAAGTTGTTAGTGAAAGCACCGTTCCCCTAAAATACTTCTAAATAGTTAGTTAAATAGTTTAACCAAATAGCTACCCGGACTATCTGTATTGACCCTTTTTGCACCTCTTTTGACTCATCACATACGCTGTTGCTACTGTTTGTCTACCCTGTTGCCTAGTCACTTTATCCCAACCTATACCTCAATCACCTCATACCCCTGTACATCGACTCAGTACTTACCCCGTGTATATAGCCAAGTTATCGTTACTCATTGTGTATTTATTCCTTATGTTATTATTTTTTCTATTATTTCTCTATTTTTCTCTCTGCATTGTTTGGCCCATCAGTAAGCATTTCACTGTTACTCTACACCTGCTGTTTACGAAGCATGTGACAAATAACATTTAATTTGATGATTTTATTTGATCAGTGGCAACAACCCCCACCATTTAGACAACTTAGCAGCAACATTGTCCACCAGCCCCTCCTAGTTTCTCTCCTGAAATTCTGAGGTCCCCAAGAACACCCCTAGGAACTTCATCCCTACTCTGCCCCACTGTAGCCCCCCAGTAAATCTAGGACATCCTGCTCTGGCCCATATCCCCATAATCAACCCTTCACTCTTCTCCCAGTTCAACTCAAACAACAATAAAGCCATGCTAACCTCCTCCACATCTCCCTCCCTCTTGACAAACAGTGTCACATCATCAGCATAAGCCAACACGAACCCCACCTACTGCCCCCAGAACTGACATCCCCTGCAGCCTCTCCCTCAGCCTACACAGCAGTGGTTATATGGCTAGACTGTAGAGCTGACACGAGAGTGGACACACCTGCCTAATCAAATATGCATGACACACTTTCAAAAGCTTTTTCTTGATCAATAGAAATGAGTCCAAGATCCTGATCATACATCCTAGTGATGTCAATGAGGGAGGGAGGGAGAGCAGGTTCATGGAACATTGAGCAGACATACTGTAAATGTACAGATGAGCAACATACAGTAATTGAAATGACAAAGTCAAATAGCTGTATTTTTTATATACAGGGCATTGGTACAGATGAGGAGGGTTTGCTAGAGATTCTGTGCACCAGGTCACCCAAGGTGCTTGCCAACATCACCTCTACCTACAAGGAGCGTAAGTTACAACAATTCAAAGATATTATAAAGACATCATTATCTAAATTGCTGCAATCACTTCATAACATCACATTGCAGAATTGCTCTTTCATCAATACAGTTCTACTGTGATATGTTCTAATGAAGTAATCACCAAAGTATTCAGAGGCCAAATAATGTCCCCATAACTTAATGTGGTGTGTGTTTTAGAGTATAATAAGGATCTAGAGACGGACCTGAAGGGTGAGACCAGTGGGGACTTTGCCAAACTCGTCGTGGCCTTACTCAAGGTGAACCTTGTCCCTCTCCCCTCCCTGACAGAAATCCTCTTCACTAACATGTTACACTTATTAGAAGAACCTCTGTAAGATTGTCCGCTAAATGACTAAATTGTACATGTACATTTTAAATAGGCAAACGATATAATTAAAAACGTTTAGAAATACTGATCTTGATCCCAGTCTCTATTCCTCTACCTCTTCACACTCAATAGAAGGAAAAGGGAGGAGGTGTGGTGCAAAGAGACACAGAGGTGCGTACAGTATAATGCACTAGTGTACTGCACCGTGTATTTGTGTGTGTGAGTTTGTGTGTTTGTGTCTGTTTAACCTTATGTGCTTGTGAATGAGCAGGCTCTCTCTGAAGCTATCAATCAGGCAAAGGCAGATCCTGGACCATGGATCACCATTCTGACGACCAGAGACTCTGAACATCTTAACCAAGGTGTGTGTGTGTGTGTGTGTGTGTGTGTGTGTGTGTGTGTGTGTGTGTGTGTGTGTGTGTGTGTGTGTGTGTGTGTGTGTGTGTGTGTGTGTGTGTGTGTGTGTGTGTGTGTGTGTGTGTGTGTGTGTGTGTGTGTGTGTGTGTGTGTGTGTGTGTGTGTGTGTGTGTGTGTGTGTGTGTGTGTGTAATATAGTTGTGTTGTGTGTGCAGTGTTCGTCAATTTGGAGAGTGAGAAGCATGAGCCAGTGGATGAAGCAATAGAGAAAGCATTCAGTGGAGATGTGAGACTTGGGCTGAAAACACTGGGTAAAACACTGGAATGTGTGTGCATGTGTCTGGGTGTGGGTGTGGGTGTGGGTGTGTGTCATGTGTTTAATGTGTACCCTCGTAAAACTGACTATCCTACCGATCCTTGACTTCGGCGATGTAATTTACAAAATAGCCTCCAACACTCTACTCAGCAAATTGGATGTAGTCTATCACAGTGCCATCCGTTTTGTCTCCAAAGCCCCATACACTACCCACCACTGTGACCTGTACGCTCTTGTTGGCTGGTCCTCACTACATGTTCGTCGTCAAACCCACTGGCTCCAGGCCATCTATAAATCACTGCTAGGCAAATCCCCGCCTTATCTTAGCTCATTGGTCACCATAGCAGCACCCACCCGTAGTCTACGCTCCAGCAGGTATATCTCACTGGTCATTCCCAAAGCCAACACCTCCTTTGGCCGCCATTCCTTCCAGTTCTCTGCTGCCAATGACTGGAACGAATTGCAAAAATCTCTGAAGCTGGAGACTCTTATCTCCCTTAATAACTTTAAGCATCAGTTGTCAGAGCACCTTACCGATCACTGCACCTGTACACAGCCCATCCGAAATTAGCCCACCCAACTACCTCATCCCTATATTATTTATTTTGCTCTTTTGCACCCCAGTATCTCTATTTGCACATAATCTCTTGCACATCTAGCATTCCAGTGTTAATACTATTGTAATTATTCTGCACTATAGCCTATTTATTGCCTTACCTCCATAACTTGCTACATTTGCACACACTGTATATATATTTTCTGTTGTATTTTCTGACTTTATGTTTTTTTTACCCCATATGTAACTCTGTTGTTTTTATTGCACTACTTTGCTTTATCTTGGCCAGGTCGCAGTTGTAAATGAGAACTTGTTCTCAACTGGCTTACCTGGTTAAATAAAGGTGAAATAAAAAAATAAAAAAAAAAATAAAAAACATTCAAATGTTTACATTTATCTTACATCATATGCTTACATCATTGCTAATGAAATGGATGTCCAGTGAAAACAGTTATGAGCCCACAAGCAGCAGAGCACAGAGTGCACTGTACATGCAGTAGAGGTACGGTTGAAGTCGAAAGATTACATACACTTAGGTTGGAGTTATTAAAACTCGTTTTTCAACCACTCCACAAATTTCTTGTTAGCAAACTATAGTTTTGGCAAGTCGGTTAGAACATCTACTTTGTGCATGACAGATTATTTAACTTATAATTCACTATATCACAATTCCAGTGGGTCAGACGTTTACATACATTAAGTTGACTGTGCCTTTAAACAGCTTGGAAAATTCCAGAAAAAGCTTCTGATAGGCTAATTGACATCATTTGAGTCAATTAGAGGTGTACCTGTTGATGTATTTCAAGGCCTACCTTCAAACTTAGAGCCTCTTTGCTTGACATCATGGGAAAATCTAAATAAATCAGCCAAGACCTCAGAAAAACAATTGTAGACCTCCACAAGTCTGGTTCATCCTTGGGAACAATTTCAAAACACCTGAAGGTACCACATTAATCTGTACAAACAATAGTACGCAAGTATAAACACCATAGGACCACGCAGCAGTCATACCGCTCAGGAAGGAGACGCGTTCTGTCTCCTAGAGATGAACGTACTTTGGTGCGAAAAGTGCAAATCAATCCCAGAACAACAGCAAAGGACCTTGTGAAGATGCTGGAGGAAACAGGTACAAAAGTATCTATATCCACAGTAAAACAAGTCCTATATCGACATAACCTGAAAGGCCGCTCAGCAAGGAAGAAGCCACTGCTCCAAAACCGCCATAAAAAAGCCAGACTACGGTTTGCAACTGCACATGGGGACAAAGATTGTACTTTTTGGAGAAATGTCGTCTGGTCTGATTAAACAAAAATAGAACTGTTTGGCCATAATGACCATCGTTATGTTTGGAGGATAAAGGGGGTGGCTTGCAAGCCGAAGAACACCATCCCAATCGTGAAGCACGGGGGTGGCAGCATCATGCTGTGGGGGTGCTTTGCTGCAGGAGGGACTGGTGCACTTCACAAAATAGATGGCATCATGAGGAAAGAAAATTATGTGGATATATTGAAGCAACATCTCAAGACATCAGTCAGGAAGTTAAAGCTTGGTCGCAAATGGGTTTTCCAAATGGACAATGACCCCAAGCATAATTCCAAAGTTGTGGAAAAATGGCTTAAGGACAACAAAGTCAAGGTATTGGAGTGGCCATCACAAAGCCCTGACCTCAATCCTATAGAACATTTGTGGGCAGAACTGAAAAAGCGTGTGCGAGCAAGGAGGCCTACAAACCTGACTCAGTTACACCAGCTCTGTCAGGAGGAATGGGCCAAAATTCACCCAACTTATTGTGGGAAGCTTGTGGAAAGCTACCTGAAACGTTTGACCCAAGTGAAACAATTTAAAGGCAATGCTACCAAATACTAATTGAGTGTATGTAAACTTTTGACCCACTGGGAATGTGATGAAAGAAATAAAAGCTCAAATAAATCTTTCTCTCTACTATTATTCTGACATTTCACATTCTTAAAATAAAGTGGTGATCCTAACTGACCTAAGACAGGGAATTTTTACTAAGATTAAATGTCAGGAATTGTGAAAAACTGAGTTTAAATGTATTTGGCTAAGGTGTATGTAAACTTCCGTCTTCAACTGTATGTTAATATGTGCATGGACTCACACACAAAGGATCCCTAACCTTTCTCTCTGATAACAGTGCGTTGCATACAGAGCCCAAACCTCTACCTGGCTCAAAGACTCGAGACCATGAAGGTAAGCATCAACATATTCAGAACTCATGAGTCTGTCTGTCCGTCCGTCCGTCTGTCTGTCTTTGGGGTGTTTGGTTTTCCATTGTGTTTGGTTGGTAAATCTCTGTTTGTCCCCTCCAGGCAGCCATAGTCCAGGGGGTGATGGTGTCCCACAGTGAGGAGGATCTGCTGTGTGTGAGAGTTGCTTATCTCAGACAGACAGGCACCTCACTCTACACAGCCCTACAGGTCAGACACACACATATGCATGCACGGACCAAACAGACACATTTACACACACATACAATCATATGTACAGTGTATGTGTACCCAGTGGTGTAGTGGGGGCTATATGCAGGTATACCCACTTTTTTTTCATTGGGCATTGCCTATACTCACGTCTTAATCCCCACTCATGCGTATCAAAGTAGTGTAGTAGAGGTATACGCCGTATCATATATTATATTACAGGTGACTATTTTTGTACTCATCACTGCATTCTCTACCAGAAAGTTGGTTGGCCCTCTTTGATGTCACATAGGTTGATACATTGCTATGTTTTCCCACTGTACCTAACATCAAAACTAAACTTTTGACATATGAGTTACCACACCCGGTCTCAGCGATGGCTAACTTTGGAAATGTATTTGGTCTCTAATGAGTTAGATAAATAAGCTTTTAGTTTTTTTGCACCTTATTTGTGGAACAATCTTCAAAATGTTCTTAGATTTGATGTTCTGGTGCCTATAGGGCAATTCAGAAAGCTGAATTGCTGCACCTGTGTTGTTCTCCAGGATGAAGCTGATGAATAATTTCACAAAATCACAGTTGATTGTAATGCAATCATCAGGCAGTGAAGTGTAGATGGAAAGTGTGTACAGTGATATGGAACTGATTTCATGTCTTCTGTAAGATACGTCTGAAATATGTTCAATTTCATGGCATACAGACATGTTGTCATAAATCATGTCTGATGTACATTCCACTATACAACATGTTCTCACCTTGTCCATTAATTGGCCAAAGAACCCAAAACATGCACTTTTGCCATAGCCAGTTTGCAAAAGTGCAAAGACACTTTGGCCATTTAAGACGTTCCTCAATAACTATTTTTATTGTGGTCTGAGCAGGAAGTGGGGATTTATATATTGGAGAATGCTATTCAATTCTTCGTCTTCCATTGCTACCTTGCTATGTACCTTGCTACAATTTATTGAAACTTAAATAATTAAAAAGTAAGTCCAATATAGGCCTATATAGTTTGGAAATAGTAATTATGACTTTGTGGCTGTGTTAACTAGGGATGACTGTGCAACAAGGATGGTCTACCAGTCTCTTAACATCCAATTTTTGATATTGAAAATCTGAAGAAAAAAAATCACACAGGGTGCCTGTCCTTCACCGGTCTGGCCGTTTGGGAAATTTTGGGCAGAATTAGAGTATACCCACTTCTCCAGGCACCACTACACCACTGTGTGCATCCACCCACCAGATGTAATGCACATTTAGACTCCCACATGTACACACACTTATCTGTATGCCAGTAGCACACCTGTTTGAGGAATGAAAAAAAAAAGGTAATTTATTTATTTCCTGTAACAAATACAGTAGAAATGCATGTCAATTAAACTATCTACAGTATCTCAACCAAGCAGTATAACCAACAGTCTTTCAAAATTAATTAAACATTTTTAAATGTTCCAATGTTTTTCAACAGAAACAATTCAAAGGAGATCACCTACAAGCATTGCTGGCTATCTGTCGATCTGAAGACTAAAGGATTGAGTTTTGTGTACAATTTCACATTAGCTCAGCCTACACATTACTAATCACATTTTAGTATTTACAGTATACAGATGTAGGATCTTAATTTGAGGCAGTTTGCTACAGCAAGAAAATATTTCTGCAGCAACCGGAAATGTGAATTGTTATGTGGATTATAATTAATACAATATATTGTAGGGGTTGATACATGTTTGTAAGGAAAAATCATGTCTGAAATCAAGTGAAAATTACAAACTTCAGAAGCCTTTTTAAACCTCAAATACACTACAAGTTTTACATGTCCTGCATTGATCAAATTAAGATCCTACATCTGTATTGCTCTATGTCTCAGTCCTACACGGTAATACAAGAAAATAAAACGTTGTTCAATTGCTAATGCTTAAAATGACAGTAAAGTCAGTTTCTACTAATTTTTTCTATAATTGTTTGAAGTGTACTTTAATTTGAAGTGTACTTCCATACTTTTATTAAAATAAAAATTGGATTACAATCAAGTATATTTTCTACAACATTAATTCCTTCTAATCAGTGCATTTTAAAAAACAAACAGACAAAAATAAGTCTAAAAGGGCAGTGGAGGCATGTTCCTAAATAAATATCTGTTTGCCCAAAGAATTGTATCCATTGGTGACTGTTTACAACAAATTCAAGTTTAAGAACAACTTGCTTCTCTCATAACGTGTCCATATGCAAAGTTTAACCTCTAACATGAAACATCAATGACTGGTGTTCCAGTAGAGGAAAATCCATACTTTCACATACATGTTTGCTTTCCTCAGTAGCTTTGGGTTCATTCATAGCCAGTCAGTCTATTTGGCCTGAGCAATACAAACTCCAGGCCAGAGGGGGTTCACCACTTAGAACCACAGGGTGTAGAGCAGAAGAGGCACCACAGAACACAACAGAGATGCTCTGGTTGCTGGGCTGCCACTTGGTGTGGTGGGTGGGACATGTGCTGCTGTTGTAGGAGCAGGAGCAGCGGTTGTAGGAGCAGGAGCAGCAGTTGTAGGAGCAGGAGCTGCAATTGCAGGAGCAGCCATTGTAGGAGCAGAAGCAGCCATTGTTGGAGCAGCGGTTGCATTGGTATCCTGAATACAGAGAATGATAGAAGAAACAATGGAATCAATATGGACTGCAAATCATTCTTAAAGGGACATTTCACTCATAAATGAAAGTTTGTCAGATGTTTTCAGACCTCAAAAATAGACTAATGTCAAGATGAAACATTGATTGTGTAGATCCAGCTATAGGCCTCACTCCTAAATGAATGGAAAAGATTAGCACTGTCTAATTTCCTAGATTTCCTGGTTTTATTCAGTGCTCATCTTTTCCATTAATTTGATATGGAGGCGTATAGCTGGATCTACACAACAGATGTCATTGGACTAACAAACTTTCATTTGAAAGTATAATGTCCCTTTTGAAGCTTGAGTCCTTAGTTGCTGGATAAATGTTTGGACTTATAAATGAATGATATATACACATTGATTCTTGAAGAATATAACTTATAACTGCCTCATGGGTTTAGGGCTCTATTCAATCTGTATCGCTGAAGCGTTACAGATTGCGCGCTAGAAATGTAAAGGTAATTTCCGATTGAGCCAACATATGCAGCGTTTACAGTGAATGCAGTCTCCACTAATGTGGGAACATTGCCTTTACATTTCAATTACACTGTAACGTTGAATTTCTGCGATACGGATTGAATAGAGCCTTTAGTTCAACTGTCGTCCCCCATCAGAATCCAAAATGCAAGCTTGTTTTATTCCAATGTTTGTAAACAATTTAAATGTAAACAAACACTGTATTGCCTCAAAACATAGGGCTCTATTCAATCCATAGCGATCTGCTTTATAGCGCAATTGACAATCAAAGGCAATATTCCTGCGGTTGTGGAGACTGCATTCATCGTAAATTCTGCATATGTCGGCTCAATCAGAAATTACCTTTCAATTTTAACGTGGATCTTCCGCGATACTTTGGCGATACGGATTGAATCCAGCCCATAGTTAAAACTATAGTATTTTCATCCATAGCTCTGTGTATGAATTTGAGAGTGGTTACAGTTCTCCAGGCCCATCCCTCAGCTTTTTACCAAAACACAGGCGGGGTGACCGCTTTGTTATTGTTTAAATTAAGGATTCTAGCTTTAAGGAATGTAGTAACAGTGAGATTGAGGGTCAATTCAATTTAAATCCAGGAAGTGAATTGAAATTCTTATTGGAAATAATGTCACTTACTGGAATGAAATTGACACCTTTCCGGATTACGGTTCGACACCAGAAATTGTAACTTTCAAGGTACTCAATTGCAGACTAATAGCATACTAGACGTTGCTGCTTTTCCCCAAAGAAAAAAATCCTCAGTCATCAAATTCAAATGCAAATGTATTGTTCAGTAATTCTGATATTTTATAGAAGGATTGGGGTCAATTCCATTTCAACTTCAAAAAACCATTCAGTAAGTGATTTTGAAAGAATTTAGGCCACTTTTTAATTCTTGAATTGGAATCTTAAGTCATCTCCTGAACTAACTGATTTTAAATGAAATTGACCCCAACTCTGTTGAGTACTGTCCATTTCATTACCATTGCGATGGTGGAGGCCAGCAGGGCCAGTGTACAGAGTCCCAGAAAATACTTCATATTGGAGAGTAGGTGAGGTGTCCTAAGAGTAAAATACTGCAGGAGGCTTGGAGAGTTGTTGATGGTCTGTCCTGTTCTATGTATCCAGAGATGGTCCTCAGTGTATCGAGTGCTGTAGAGTCTATGTCCTTTTCTGAGTTGGACTTCTCTTATATATATAGTCCCTGCATGTGCCGAGGTGTGAACACACCACGTTCCTCTGGTTTCAGGAAGATTGTGTGTGTGTGCACGTGTTGTTGGGTTTTTTACCGGCAGTTTCGGCATGCATATCATGTCAGTGTACAAAACAGCAGAGTCAAGGTTCAACACATCACTTTTAGTGTTTTACACTACCTCTCCATTACTTTTACTCTACTGTTTCTGTTCATGGAAAATCTTAATTTGGGTAAATGTGTAAATAAATATCATACTGATAGCTGCTAGAACGAACACAGTCCAGGGGCAATGATGTTGCTTAGCAAATTCCTTGGCGTCATATCACACAAATGACATCATTATTTGATGAAAAAATCTATTTTTATTACAGAGATTGCCAAATACAAATACGTTTTTTAAGCAGTCCCAGTCCTAGCCTATATACAGTGGGGAAAAAA